TCGCAATCCCACTCAATAATAATATGAATAATAAAGATATGAATAACATATAGTGGGAATGCTTTGCAATCCCACTCAATAAAGATATGAATGCTTCGCAATCCCACTCAATAAAGATATGAATAACATATAGTGGGAATGCTTTGCAATCCCACTCAATAAAGATATGAATTCTTCGCAATCCCACTCAATAATAATAAAGATATGAATAACATATAGTGGGAATGCTTTGCAATCCCACTCAATAATAAAGATATGAATAACGTATCGTTGGAATGCTTCGCAATCCCACTCAATAAAGATATGAATAACATATAGTGGGAATGCTTCGCAATCCCACTCAATAATAAAGATATGAATAACATATAGTGGGAATGCTTCGCAATCCCACTCAATAATAAAGATATGAATAACATATAGCGGGAATGCGTCGCAATCCCACTCAATAATAAAGATATGAATAACATATAGTGGGAATGCTTCGCAATCCCACTCAATAATAATATGAATAATAAAGATATGAATAACATATAGTGGGAATGCTTTGCAATCCCACTCAATAAAGATATGAATGCTTCGCAATCCCACTCAATAATAATAAAGATATGAATAACATATAGTGGGAATGCTTCGCAATCCAACTCAATAATAAAGATATGAATAACATATCGTGGGAATGCTTCGCAATCCCACTCAATAAAGATATGAATAACATATAGTGGGAATGCTTCGCAATCCCACTCAATAATAATATGAATAATAAAGATATGAATAACATATAGTGGGAATGCTTTGCAATCCCACTCAATAAAGATATGAATGCTTCGCAATCCCACTCAATAAAGATATGAATAACATATAGTGGGAATGCTTTGCAATCCCACTCAATAAAGATATGAATTCTTGGCAATCCCACTCAATAATAATAAAGATATGAATAACATATAGTGGGAATGCTTTGCAATCCCACTCAATAATAAAGATATGAATAACGTATCGTGGGAATGCTTCGCAATCCCACTCAATAAAGATATGAATAACATATAGTGGGAATGCTTCGCAATCCAACTCAATAATAAAGATATGAATAACATATAGTGGGAATGCTTCGCAATCCCACTCAATAATAAAGATATGAATAACATATCGTGGGAATGCTTCGCAATCCCACTCAATAATAATAAAGATATGAATAACATATAGTGGGAATGCTTCGCAATCCCACTCAATAATAAAGATATGAATAACATATCGTGGGAATGCTTCGCAATCCCACTCAATAAAGATATGAATAACATATAGTGGGAATGCTTCGCAATCCCACTCAATAATAAAGATATGAATAACATATAGTGGGAATGCTTCGCAATCCCACTCAATAATAAAGAGATGAATAACATATCGTGGGAATGCTTCGCAATCCCACTCAATAAAGATATGAATAACATATAGTGGGAATGCTTCGCAATCCCACTCAATAATAAAGATATGAATAACATATAGTGGGAATGCTTCGCAATCCCACTCAATAATAATAAAGATATGAATAACATATAGTGGGAATGCTTCGCAATCACACTCAATAATAAAGATATGAATAACATATCGTGGGAATGCTTCGCAATCCCACTCAATAAAGATATGAATAACATATAGTGGGAATGCTTCGCAATCCCACTCAATAATAAAGATATGAATAACATATAGTGGGAATGCTTCGCAATCCCACAGAATAATAAAGAGATGAATAACATATAGTGGGAATGCTTCGCAATCACACTCAATAATAAAGATATGAATAACATATAGTGGGAATGCTTCGCAATCCCACTCAATAATAATATGAATAATAAAGATATGAATAACATATAGTGGGAATGCTTTGCAATCCCACTCAATAAAGATATGAATGCTTCGCAATCCCACTCAATAATAATAAAGATATGAATAACATATAGTGGGAATGCTTCGCAATCCAACTCAATAATAAAGATATGAATAACATATCGTGGGAATGCTTCGCAATCCCACTCAATAAAGATATGAATAACATATAGTGGGAATGCTTCGCAATCCCACTCAATAATAATATGAATAATAAAGATATGAATAACATATAGTGGGAATGCTTTGCAATCCCACTCAATAAAGATATGAATGCTTCGCAATCCCACTCAATAAAGATATGAATTACATATAGTGGGAATGCTTTGCAATCCCACTCAATAAAGATATGAATTCTTCGCAATCCCACTCAATAATAATAAAGATATGAATAACATATAGTGGGAATGCTTTGCAATCCCACTCAATAATAAAGATATGAATAACGTATCGTGGGAATGCTTCGCAATCCCACTCAATAAAGATATGAATAACATATAGTGGGAATGCTTCGCAATCCCACTCAATAATAAAGATATGAATAACATATAGTGGGAATGCTTTGCAATCCCACTCAATAATAAAGATATGAATAACATATCGTGGGAATGCTTCGCAATCCCACTCAATAATAATAAAGATATGAATAACATATAGTGGGAATGCTTCGCAATCCCACTCAATAATAAAGATATGAATAACATATCGTGGGAATGCTTCGCAATCCCACTCAATAAAGATATGAATAACATATAGTGGGAATGCTTCGCAATCCCACTCAATAATAAAGATATGAATAACATATAGTGGGAATGCTTCGCAATCCCACTCAATAATAATAAAGATATGAATAACATATAGTGGGAATGCTTCGCAATCACACTCAATAATAAAGATATGAATAACATATCGTGGGAATGCTTCGCAATCCCACTCAATAAAGATATGAATAACATATAGTGGGAATGCTTCGCAATCCCACTCAATAATAAAGATATGAATAACATATAGTGGGAATGCTTCGCAATCCCACTCAATAATAAAGAGATGAATAACATATAGTGGGAATGCTTCGCAATCCCACTCAATAAAGATATGAATGACATACAGTGGGAATGCTTCGCAATCCCACTCAATAATAAAGATATGAATAACATATAGTGGGAATGCTTCGCAATCCCACTCAATAATAATATGAATAATAAAGATATGAATAACATATAGTGGGAATGCTTTGCAATCCCACTCAATAAAAATATGAATGCTTCGCAATCCCACTCAATAATAATAAAGATATGAATAACATATAGTGGGAATGCTTCGCAATCCCACTCAATAAGGATATGAATAACATATAGTGGGAATGCTTCGCAATCCCACTCAATAATAAAGATATGAATAACATATAGTGGGAATGCTTCGCAATCCCACTCAATAATAATAAAGATATGAATAACATATAGTGGGAATGCTTCGCAATCCCACTCAATAAAGATTTGAATTACATATAGTGGGAATGCTTTGCTATCCCACTCAATAATAAAGATATGAATAACATATCGTGGGAATGCTTCGCAATCCCACTCAATAAAGATATGAATAACATATAGTGGGAATGCTTCGCAATCCCACGCAATAAAAAAGATATGAATAACATATAGCGGGAATGCTTCGCAATCCCACGCAATAATAATAAAGATATGAATAACATATAGTGGGAATGCTTCGCAATCCCACTCAATAAGAGTTGAATAACATATAGTGGGAATGCTTCGCAATCCCACTCAATAATAAAGATATGAATAACATATCGTGGGAATGCTTCGCAATCCCACTCAATAAAGATTTGAATTACATATAGTGGGAATGCTTTGCTATCCCACTCAATAATAAAGATATGAATAACATATCGTGGGAATGCTTCGCAATCCCACTCAATAAAGATATGAATAACATATAGTGGGAATGCTTCGCAATCCCACGCAATAAAAAAGATATGAATAACATATAGTGGGAATGCTTCGCAATCCCACGCAATAATAATAAAGATATGAATAACATATAGTGGGAATGCTTCGCAATCCCACTCAATAAGAGTTGAATAACATATAGTGGGAATGCTTCGCAATCCCACTCAATAATAAAGATATGAATAACATATCGTGGGAATGCTTCGCAATCCCACTCAATAAAGATATGAATAACATATAGTGGGAATGCTTCGCAATCCCACTCAATAAAAAAGATATGAATAACATATAGTGGGAATGCTTCGCAATCCCACTCAATAATAAAGATATGAATAACATACAGTATAGTGGGAATAGCAATCCCACTCAATAATAATATGAATAATAAAGATATGAATAACATATAGTGGGAATGCTTTGCAATCCCACTCAATAAAGATATGAATGCTTCGCAATCCCACTCAATAATAATAAAGATATGAATAACATATAGTGGGAATGCTTCGCAATCCCACTCATTAAAGATATGAATAACATATAGTCAATAAAGAACAGAATAACAATAAGTTGCTTAATGCTTAATAAGCATTTCCACTTAATAATAATAATAATAATAATAATAATAATAAAGAAACGGGAGAATAACAATAAGTGTGTCAGCATTTCCATAATAATAATAAGGAAATAGGAGAATAACAATAAGTGGAAATGCTGTGTCAGCATTTCCACTTAATAATAATAATAATAATAAAGAAATGGGAGAATAACAATAAGTGTGTCAGCATTTCCATAATAATAATAAGGAAACAGGAGAATAACAATAAGTGGAAATGCTGTGTCAGCACTCACTAAACTAGCAATTTCCACAATATGCTGATGTTTGGAGACAGAGGATTTTCATGAGCTGTAAGCTGTAATTGTCAAGATTCAAACACAGTCTTAAAATATTTCACTTTGTCTGATGAATTGAGAATAGATAATAGATTCAGTTTTTGAATTAAATAATGTGAAAAATGAACTTTTTGAGCTGCACCTGTAAGTCAGTAGAACAATTAATATTTTACCTTTAGCCATTTTCCCCACTCTTTTGTCATGAAGTCATGATTCAATGCAGGACTTTAAATGATAATGAGGGATGTTATGTCGCTGTTTTGAAATTTTTTATTATATCAGAAACTTGATTAATACTTTACAATAAATAGTACTGTCTTTCAAAATACCTTAAGTGTTTTCATCGAGAATAAAAATCTGTGTTTCAGAGGAACAACACTTTGACCAAACATTTATTTAGCCTTCAAAAAAGGGTTTCACACTAATAAAAAATACTGTTAATCACATACAATGGAACGTTCCTCAGAGACCACTGACACACACACACACACACAGTTACTCCAACACACACCATCGCTGACTAAGTGTATATCTTTGTTTTCTGTAAAAATATCACAGAGCTATCTGCTCTCCCACAATGTTGAGAAGTTTCCCCTCATGTTTTACAGTCGGCTGTCTCCAGAACATTACGCATTTTCAGGAGTGGCATTAGACCAGAGGAGAGCTTTCTGACACCATCAAAGAAAATGTGAGAAAATTCTTGGTGTAGTATTTCAGCAGCCAGTCCACTCTGCAGTAGCAAAGTCTCTGAAAGATATTTCTTTCAAAAATCCAGTAAATATGCACTAATACAGTCCTCGAGGTAATGCTGAAGCTCACATGTGGAGAGTGACCACACTGTAAGATTTCAGCTCATCATTATCCACACCTGTAACTTGAGCAGGAAGTGTGCTGCTACTTCTTCACCTCCAGCCATCAAACATGTTATTACTGAGCAGATCACTGTTTTGGAGAGAAACAAGTCAATCCAATAGGGGCTTACAATTCATGGTGCTGTAACTGGCTAATCAACGATACTCTACCCCATAGAAACAGAATCAAACCATTTTCCAATGTTAGTAATATCTGCTCCATAAGCATGTGAATGCACCATTTTTTTTTCTTTATTCAAGATGCCATTCCTGTAGTTTTTGAGCATAACTTCTTGATATCACATTTACTCTTTTTCCACCAAGCCAGTTCCAGTGCTGGTTCGGAGCAAATGCGTGATTTGAAGCCACTTCTATGTTTTTCCACCACCAAAGTGGTGTCTCTGGTCCAGTATAAAATGGTTCCAGAGTAGCACCAACTCCCTGCTGAGCTGCAAGAAAGAATTGCTTATGTCAGGAGCTGAGGGCAGGTTTTCATGTCCAAAAGGATCAGGGTAACAGCAGCTAGCTAACGGCTAATATTTAGTGTATAAAAAAATAAAAACTCCTGTCTTCTGGAGTGTAATCACCTCCAAGATTTCCTATTCAGCAGAACTAAATCTCTGGACCCGCTGTGTTTGGACTAAGGAATGTTTGTAAAGTAAGGAGCAGCACTTCAAACGGGACACAGTAGTCCTCTTTTATTTGTTCTACTGCAAGTTGTGCTGGGAGATAAAGAGATTTGCCAATGTCTGTAGTGACACTGTTGTGACGTCTTTGCAGCCAGTAGAAAAGCAAACAGGAGTTGCTAGCGAACCAGCGCTAGGACCAGCCCAGTTTTCAAACTCTGTTTTTATGTTGTACAGTGACCTTGAGTGTCAAGAAAGGCGCCTATAAATAAAATGCAAAATGCAAAATGCAGAACCAGCACTAACACCATCTTGGTGGAAAAGGGGAATTGAGATTTTATCCCAGCATCCTGCCTTTGCACACAATAGGCCCCTGTTTGCACTCACATTTGCTCTACCTGGACTCCGGTAAATGCTACAGTAGCCTGATTTGACATCAACAGCTACAGTGAGGGTGTAGAAAATGTCTTCAAGCAGCTATATCACTCAACACAAGCTACAGTTTGAGTCAAGCATAGGCAGAATAAATTGATGCATGAACAGCAGCCTCTGTGGGACAGTATTGCAGAAAATTTAAGGATTAAAGGATTGTTTAAAGATGGAAAAAGCCCATTTAATTTGAAACTTAATGACCACTAGATAGTCCAGTTTGACTAGTTAACAGTGGCCTTGGAGACAAGGTATTAGTTGCTGTCCTGTAGGTGTTTTTTAGGTAAAACTCTCGTCCTTAGCAGGCACCATAAAAAAAAAATATTTTTCTTTTTTTTTGTCAGGTTTTAATGTTTAATGTAGTTTATTTGCCAAATACCCATATAAACTTTCATATAAGTTCCCACTAAGAATTATAATCTTTAATGAGATATGTCTACAAATGCCATCTTTCCTCATTTTACTCATAAAAAGGCAAATGAATCAATAAATATGTTTCCGCTTTGAAAACCACCTGGGTAAAACTTGAAGTTATCAAAAAAAAAAACCTTTTAAAACTCTTTTCCCTTCGTCTTCATAATAAGTGCAAAGTTGAGTTCCACTCATAATTCCTTTAACTTCTCCTTTCTGGTTCACAGTAACTCTGCCAGGTGTAAAAGTCTCCTCTGACTATGATGCAGTAATATAGACTAACAAAGATAAAGAGGTCTGGTTAAAATCTGCTTAGGGTGAATACTGGTGCAGGCACTGTGATGAATCCTCTGAAGGCAGTCACTCCAGAAAAAGCATCCATACTCAAAGGTAAAACTTCCCACATATAGGTAATAAATAAATAAATAAATTCATCAATAAATACAAAGGCATAGATGATCAGTGTAGCTGCCTAAAACCTGCAAACAGTCAACTTAATGAAAACACAAAGTTCATGTCAGTAACAGCGAGACACTGTCAGTGGGATAGGAGATGAGGTTCATCAGGTCATCTGTGCTGCATGTCCTTGAAGTTTAACTCTTGTTTTTACAGTTAGTCTTGTAGGTCTGATTGTGCCATTAAACCAGCCAGTGGGTTGTAAAATGCTGTATGGCTTTGATGACTGAAATCATGACAAACATTCACCTGACCTCTGAAACAACCTTCAAAAAATCTTTTTCCTTCTCTGAAAAGTTCAGTAAATTCATTCATAGAGCCTGACCAAAGTCTTAACCAGTCACTTTCAGGCCTATTGTAAATAAATTGATAACTGTGTTGTGAGGTGAGTGATTTGTAGTGACGGAGCATTTTCCTGCAGACAAAAAAAAATTTAGATTGGGTCAGGAGGTGTGAAATATGAAGAAGTTTGTCCTGCAGAGCATGCCCTGATTCAATCATGGGTAAAACTCTTAGCTATGATTGCAGGGTATGTAATTTAACATCATAGCTGAGCAGACGGAGTGATACTGTTAGAAGTGTATTAGTGGTAATTTGTTTTAAAAAAGCTGCCATCAGCATAGACAAAGGTCAGTAGGTCTTTACATGAACCCAGCTCCTTTAATGCATCATTGATAAATCCTGATAAATCAATCTGTATTCATAAAAAACTGATTGTAAGCATTCATAACAGCTTTTAGTTATGTTAATGAGATGTTATAAGCAGTAAGCATGATGCCCTATAGACAGTAGCGGTTCTAGGCACGGGCGAACCGGGCAGCCACCCGGGGCGGCATATGTGTCATGACTCATGGGGGGCGGCACGAGCACTTCCAAAAAAATAAAATAAAAGATAATAATAAATCTGCGCCACAAAGCGGTTTTGTATTAACTCTTGTTGTCAAATTGGCACCCCCCTGCTGCTGTAGACACCCCTGCTTGCTGCGAAGGTGCCGCACAGAGGCTGACAGACTGTATGAGACGAGGCGGGGAGAGGGTCGCAGGGGACAGCTCTGCTCTCAGGATTGCTCTCACTCTGCCAGTCACGGTGGCTCAAGCAGAGAGGAGCTTCTCAAAACTGAAGTTGATAAAGTCGTAAGGCTCACTGGCCTTGCCGTCATTAATCACTTAACCCATTTAAACAGGGACAGTATGTCTGCATTTCAACCTTCCATAGCTGAGAGCGCGGCTGCGCATTTCAGCCTTCAAGCTGGGAGCGCGGATACGTCATTTTGTGACATTATGTCGTTTTTTAATCATTTCTGGAGTCGTGGCAAATCAAATCATCATACCAGTCTGCCTCTGATAAGCTAATAAAGCGATAGGATTCATGCTTGGATCTTGCTACGTGCATCGTGAGGAAAGTAAACAATGACAGGCAGAGAGCAGCTTCGGAGGAGAAACATCCAGCAGTGTGAACAACCTCTTCATATTGCGGTCTTTGGCTCACACTATCAGCGATTTCTGTGAGTGTTGCATGACTTTGGGTGAGCACAGACATGAACAGACTGTCAGCCACATATTTATTTATTTTTTAGTGCTGTTTTTGTACAGGCACTATACTAGGGCAGCTGCATACCCTTTCAACACTTTATTTTTTATATTTACATTTGAATTAAATGGACACTTTATCATGACTGCCATTTGTTTTACAGAAAGCAAATAGTTTATTATTCTCCAGTGCAGAATCTTTACTTTTCTTTATACAGCCTCTTTAATTCATTTAAGTTTGTTTGTTCAAGGTTTTCAATAATGTGTTGAAAGTTTGGACAAATAAAAGCTAGTTATCTTGAAAGCCACACCTGTAAGCTCTCAAATACTTTTTTAATTTTGTTTCTATCTGCTACAGAGGCTGAGATATCAACTTTTTTGTAAACCTAAACACTTCAGAAAACCTCAGGATCTGGGGGCCCTTCTTAAAATGGCCCTCAGGATTTCAGAGGCGCGGCTCAGGCAGGGTTCAGGGTTCAGGCTTAATGGGTTAATAGGGCAGCAGATTTCTTATGAAGAGATTATTGATGATTTTGCATCAAGGAAGGCAGGAAAGGTCAGGTTTTAGTTTTAGTTTGTGTTTTCTGTTCATAGAACAATCACATTTTCTTTGGTGTGTTTTCAAGTTTGTGATTTGCTATGTAAGATTATTAGTCTATATTTTATTTGATATTTTATATTATTCTTCTCTTCTCGTACTGTCTTGTTACATTTTTTGTTAAATATTTGCCACTTTTATGTATGGAGGGGGTCTCGCCCGGGGAGTAATTTAGTCTAGAACCGCCACTGCCTATAGAGCTGACATTACATCTAAATACAAAAAAACAGTGTCTTTTGAATTCTGGGTAAAATATGATGTAATTACCTATTATAAATCACACTTTTATAAGACACCCTGCTCACTGCCTCTCACATACTGCTGTTATTAAGCTGTTATAAATGATTACTGTCATGCAGATTGGTTGTTATAGAGCCTTACATATGCATTTATGAGGCCTTACAAAGCGCTGCATTATAGGAGGTAGATTCATATAAAGTGTTACCTAAAGCTTGTATCTTATTAGTCTCCATATTGTTCGAGTACATATCCCCTATTAAACACATCAAACACCATTTTGTGCTTTTAACTCAATATTTGTGTGTGAAGGAACAAACCCGAAGGTTGAAATCATTGTGAGTTGAAGCTCCACCTGAGTAATAACTTAAAACAAATGCAAATGAATCACAGGCAGTGCTATCATTATTATTAAAATAATCATTATTTGATGACTTTCCATTCTAGTCACCCCTTACATCAACCCACAGTGATTCCCTCTAGTTTTGACTGTATCCAGTTGATGAAGATAAATGTGAGGCCGTGTTGCAATCCACCTGCTCGTTCTGGAAAGTTTGGTTGTGATTCAAAGGCTTTTAAATAAAGACTGGAGGACACATTGACTTGAGTTTGATGATCTGCTGGCTGTGGGCTTTAAATCAGGATTTTGTTATGGACTGAATGTGATGACTGGGCCAAAGAGAGCAGACAGTTTAGGTTGTCTCACTCAAGTGTGCACAAAAAGAAATGAAATGTATGTAAATGTTGGTATCCACTCCCCACTGGCTTGTGGTAGCACTGCCCCTCCTGAACTTATTGACCTCCCTGCATCCTCTCCCTCTCCTGAACTGACCTATCAGGCGTTCACCATGTAGCACATGTCCTTCTTTAAATGTATCTGCAGGCTACCAGAGCTGGCAAACGTCTTGGAGCACTGATCACCACGGTCCACTTTCTCTCCTGCATGTGTGCGTTTGTGTTTTTTCATGGTGTCTCCGTCACTGAAGGTGCGACAGCAGTACGGGCAGCTGTAGGGCCGCTCCCCCGTGTGGATGCGCAGGTGTCTTCGCAGGTTTCCTCTCTGGCTGAAGCTCTTGGAGCAGAAGTTGCAGCGGTGCGGCCTCTCGCCGGTATGTGTGCGCAGGTGACGCCGCAGGTCTGCAGACTGTGCAAAGGATTTGCAGCACCACTCGCAGGCGTAACTCTTTCTTTTCTGCTCCAGGTGTAGTCGGAGAGCACTGGCTTGGTCAAATGCCTCACCACAGCGGGGGCAGCGGTGGACAAGCTCAGGGATGTAACCCGCTGCTGCGCCCTCATTAGTAACCGTAGTCTTCTCCTGAGACAGTTTTTTCTTCCTGTGGGTTTCACGATGGTCTGAGCACACCAACACCATCCTGTCTGTGCTGAAGCTGGACTGTTCCTGCTGTCCAGGTGCAGTCAAAGAGTCTGTGTTATCTCCAATTTTACTCACTTTGTATTCCACAGGTTCAGCTTTAATAACAGCAGGAGCCGTACCTCGTGACTCCTCTCTTAACACAGGAACTTGAATGTGAATCTTAGGGACTATGGTGGTGGGAGGATTCAGAGAGGAGTTTGTAGGAGGAGGTGATGCTTTATGTAAGGCCTGTTTGTGGGGTCCTGGCTTCAGGACAGTCTCCCTGGCTTCAGCTGGCTTCTTGTTCCCTGGCAGGAGACTCTGCCCTGGAGATTTCTCACTCTGCTGCAACAGAAGCTGCACAGTGCCGACCTGCTGATGAATAGGTTTGGCTGCTGGAGGTTTGGGCTGGTTTAGGGTGGAGTCTGGTTCCTCTGAGCAGGGCCTCGGCTTTGGGTCAGGTAGCTGCTGCTGGTCAGGAGCTGGAAACCCAAGACTTGATCTGGACCCTAGAACCCAACAGAACAGAACAGTAAATACGATGGATTCAACAGCAGCCATCACCATCAAGATTCAAACAGAAATGAAAATTCTTGGCCAAAACCGAAGACCAAAACACCAAAAGAAATTATTATCCAATTATTAGGACCATTGCATTTATGGTTATGACTGTGTACTAACCTCACTAAAATCTAAAGTCAATGCATTGCAATGGCATAAATTAATGTTAAGTAATATTAAATATGAAATTAATATTACTTATTATTACATACATACATATTACTTCTTTTTCTCTCAAGCAGATGAGAGTGGGAGCTCCCTGCATCCTCTGAAGAAGTGAGATTTTACCCAGAATCTGCTTGTGTATTCGATTTGGTTGCAACATACACCACAGAGTGACTGTGCTGAGGAATTTCTGTTTCAATTTCAGAATGGCACTTGGGAAGTTTGGATTTCAAGTGATAAACCCTGCGTGAAGAAATTCTTTGCAGATGCACCCCCTCTTGAAATTTTAGCATTACACACTATGCAAATCACTATCCGTGGTTGTCATATATATTGAAATAAATCCACATCGCAGACATGGTGGCTAGGGATGCACGATATTTATCGGACCGATAAAATATCGGCCGATTTGGGGGGAAATTACGTCATTTTTTATCGGTCCGATAGGTGCATTTTTCCGATAGAAAGATCCGATATATTAATGAAATTACGAGTAACGTTTGCAGGCGGAGTAGCCGCCCGTCCGAGACGCGCTGGTTACGTCATCTATTGCGCCTTACTCGCAGGTCCCAAGCCTGACCCCGTCACTACCTGACAGATAATAAAATGTCTTCACCAGCATGGTCGTTTCTCTCAGTGGCAGAAGATGACAACAGCATTGCTATATGCAAAACCTGTTCAGCGAGGATTCCGAGAGGAGGAAAGAAGACGTCAAGTATTAACACAGCGAATCTGACAGCTCATCTGAAAAGTCGCCATCGCGGCGAAGCGGTAGTAAAAGAATATGAGACAGCCGCCGAAGCTGCTAGCGGTACAAAAGCTAAGACAACAACACTACGGAGGATCGATGTCCCCATTCAGCGGGCGTTTAAAAACTGCAAAAGCTTCTCAAGAGACAGCGAAAAGGCTAAAGCCATTAACGACAAAGTGATGGAGTTCATAGCGGTCGACGACCAGCCTTTTTCCGTCGTTGAGAACCCGGGTTTTCGCAAGTTAATAGCACACTTGGAGCCACGTTACACTCTCCCAAGCCGCCGCTTCTTCTCGGATGTGTCTCTTCCTGCACTCTATGATATTGTCGCCACATACATTCACAACCTGATCGACAAGAACGGACTACACGTGAGTTTTACCACAGACATATGGACGTCAGATGTTAGTCCGGTCAGCATGCTAAGCCTAACGTCTCATAATAGCTCCTTTACAGTTTACAGTTCTGTTGAACAGTTCAGGGGATCAAATGAAGTTCTGCTTTTTGCTCTGTTATTGTTATTTATAGCAAATGACCACATTTGAAGAGCCAAAAACTTTTGTTTGTTGTTCTAGATAGGCCAGAGCAACAAAAACATCAGTTTTCAATCGCTGCATCCTGCACAAACTGCAGATTATATGAAGATTATAATAAATGTAAAAATATGAATTTATCGGTTATCGGTATCGGTATCGGCCATGAGAAGAAGAAAATTATCGGTTATCGGTATCGGTTGAAATTTTTCATATCGTGCATCACTAATGGTGGCTCTTATCCAGACAAGCATGTGCTAGCTAATGTTTCTGTATGCGTGATCACAACAACTGTTTCGGCCGTGCTGTCTCAGTTATATACAGTAGATATAAAAACACCCCTGTTAAGCTGCCAGATTTTTGTCATGTAAAAAAATTAAATCAAGATAAATAATTTCACAACTTTATCCACCTGTAATGTGACCTATAACCTGTACAACACAATTGAAAAACAAACTGAAATCTTTCGGGAAGATGAAGTAAAAATAAACAACTGAGATCATATGGTTGCATAAGTTTGCATACCCTTTAACAGGCATGAAAATGGGTCAGGGGTTGAAAAGGTGAGAAGGGGGGGGGGGGTGAAGAGTGATTGAAGATAATTATTAGTATAATAATCTCTTAAATACAACGGAGTATGAGGGCCACATTAAGAAAAAAAAACGTTTTTAAATCTTAGACAATAAAGTTATTATTTAGGAGAATAAAGTCAATAATATATAAGAATAAAGTTGTAAAGTTACCTGTTGTGGAGGAGAGTTGCTAAAATCAGCACTGAGGAGCATTTAGATGAATTGTACTTTAGTATAGGTTTCACAAACATGGAGATACTTAATCCTTTGGTACATGAGCGTTACACTGTCAGAACTTTAAAAAGAATATATGAGAAAGGCTGCTTTTGTTGGGGGGAAATGGCTGGAAATGGCTGTACAGAGGCTAATTTCATCAATGCAGCTGTTAATAGCAATAGCATAGGGCTTTAGTTTATCATATGAGTTTATATGCCATGAGGTGTTGAGGTCTCTGCATGTGTAGGTTACTGACTTACTGTAATCATCGGGTCTTTCTCGTCCTTATGAAACCTGCTCTATTTCGGCGAGTGTCTGTCTTCTTCTGTAGTCAAACCGCAAGATATCAAAATCTACCCAGATACAGCAATGCTGCTTTTTGATTGGCTGTTCATTAGAATTACTTTATTTGATTGGCTTGCGCGTGGCACGCAGCTTCTGAACTCTCGGAGGAACTCAGTTGATTTCTACCAGTTCCATTGTTACAGAGGTGCAACTTTGTGGACATCACCATGTTCATATAAATGCGTGATAAATACAATGTGTGAGCGTGTGAACGGGTGGGAATGCGTGTGTCACACGCTGAATGCATGAGACTTGGGAGCCCTGCAGAGCAGTAAACGCAAGACGCCCGCTTTCACTATTTTAGATGGCTCAAAACCATTATGTTTTAATGAATCAATGAATAACATCAGCAGCGAAAAGGAGTGTTAAAAAGACCAGGGTTCACATGTTTTTATTTTGTCACAAAAGGCTTCAAGCATGGGCCAAAGCATAGGACAACAAGTTCTAGAACCTGAATGAAGTCATTTAAGGCACACGCTTTTGAATCCGTCCAACGGTAAGGAAAACTTGAATTATTTCGCCTTGTTTTGTACTTTCAACCGCACTCCCGTCAGGGGGGCATTCTACAGCAGGGGTGGATTATACGGCACAACACCAGTGTGGATAAGTCCTGCTTCTCGTTCTTGCAGCTTTGCAATGCTACCACAGGCTCTTCAAGCACTCCAAGTACACGTGAAGAGTGTGCGCATGATTGGAATAATGGAACGAAGCTTGGCCTATGATTCTCGTCAGCGAAGGAGCCAGGAGGATTTGCTGACCGTCCAAGTGTCATTTAAAGGGCCGATTTCTGAAGTGCTCAGTTTACGTATTAAGTCAATCACATGATAAAAAAAATTCTCCTCAGATCTACACGATTCATGTAGGTCACCCGTTTTGACTTCAAAACGGCGAATTTCGCCGAAAGGTGAGAGATTTTCATGCCTGCTTTAATAAGTGGGGATGTGGCTGTGTTCAGATTTAATCAATAACATTCAAACTCAGGTTAAATTGGAGTAAGCACACACCTGTCACCAATTAAAGTGCCTCTGATCAACCCCAAATAAAGTTCAGCTGTTCTAGTAGGCTTTTCCTGACATTTTTGCAGCCACATCTTCCAGCACAAGCCATGGTCCGCAGAGAGCTTCCAAAGCATCAGAGGGATCTCATTATTCAAAGATATCAGTCAGGTGAGGGCTACAAAAGAATTTCCAAGGAAGTAAATATACCATGGAACACAGTAAAGACTGTCATCATCAAGTGGAGAAAATATGGCACAACGGTGACATTACCAGGAACAGGACGTCCGTCCAATATTTATGATCAGATGAGAAGAAAACAGGTCAGGGAGGCTACCAAGAGGTCGACAGCAAAACTGAAGGAGCCGCAGGAATTTCTGGTAAGTACTGGCTGTGTAGTACATGTGACAACAATCTCCCGCTGTCTTCATATGTCTGGGCTATAGTAGAGCAGACAAATGCATAATATAGCCCGAATCGTTCACTTTGTTATACAAGCATGAAATTTGGTACATATACTTGTCAAACCCCACTCTTTTCAAAAATAACGTTAGCCACGCAAAATTCTAAGATGGCGGCCCCAAAATCCAAGATGTCCGCCTCAAAAATGTGGTTTTTCCTTTATAACTCAAAATGCCTTGATTTTAAGCCCCATACATATATTGAAGTTGAATATAAAGTTGTGTATTGCAGACATTTTGGTACCTAGTACATCTCTGTATCCATTACGGTTCTTGAGATACAGCATATAGATACTTGTACAGAATTGGAAGAGTGAGAAATTTGTAACACCAATTGTTGTTACGTGCATATGGTTATATCAAAATATCATTTCCATTATCTATTATTTTCATGAGGCTTATAACATTAAATTTGAAAAACAAGATGGTGTCCAAGATGGCTGCCATTGCCTTGAAGTAATCAGATCTTAGTGACTATGAAACATTTACTTTTGGCATGCACATATTTTTGGTCTATGCATCCAATGGGGCCATTGCAGTACAGAATTTACACGTTTATACAGTACAAGCTTGCAGATGTAATACAGTGAATATCGGCACACAACCAGGGCACACTGGTGATATCACTGCTGTGTAACTCAGCATGACCTCCAGGAGTTCTTTCAGCATGAGAACCAGTCCTTCCCTGTTGCATTGAGCAAGGGTGGAAAATTGTACACTTGCCAGAAGTCTCAGCTGACCCCTATCCTTGAGAATTATGTCCCACCAGTTGACAAGGAACCTGAGGCAGACGTTCTCATTGTAGATGGGTCAGCTTTGGACCACGCCCTGCCACCAAAAAGATCCAAGACTTTTGAGGACTATGCAGTTCTCGACTTCCTACCTGTGATCTACATGTACTCCAGCAAATACACAATGACACATCTGGTCTTTGATGTGAAAAACCCATCAAGCCTTAAAGCTGAGACCATGTCCAAACGTGGCGAGGGGGGAAGACACAAGGTAATAAATAAGAACACCATGCTATCTAACTGGCATAAACTTCCTGAGGCACAATGACAACAAAACAGAGATGTTCCACCCTTGCCGACAAGGTTGCACAAATGTCGTCACAAAGGGACCTGTTGAATTTTGGATTCTGGGCAAACAAACCACTAGGGGGCGCACCCATATCGTTTGCGGTGGTTTTTTAAAACCTTATACACATACCTAACACCAGAACTAAAATCAGAAAATTGTCACGAAATGCCTAATTTTTAACTTTTTATGACAAGTTTCATCCTTCTGAATTCATGATTCATCTTTGCTGAATTCATGATTACTTCAAGGCAATGGCAGCCATCTTGGACACCATCTTGGTTTTCGAATTTCATGTTATAACCCTAATGAAAATAACAATGGAAATGATATTTTCATATAACCATATGCACGTAACAACAATCAGTGTTACAAATTTCTCACTCTGCCAATTCTGTACAAGTATCTATATGCTGTATCTCAAGAACCGTAATGGATACAGAGCTGTACTAGGTACCAAAATGTCTGCAATACACAACTTTATATTTAACTTCAATATATGTATGGGGCTTAAAATCAAGTCATTTTGAGTTGTAAAGGAAAAACCACATTTTGGGGCGGACATCTTGGATTTTGGGGCCGCCATCTTGGAATTTTGCGTGGCTAACGTTATTTTTGAAAAGAGTGGGGTTTGAAGAGTATATGTACCAAATTTCATGCTTGTATAACAAAGTGAACGATTATTTCCTTATCTGCTCAGCTACTATGGGGTAGGGTGACAAGACGAAGGCCTTATCTTACAAAGAAAAACATCAAAGCCCGGCTTAATTTTGCAAAAAGATATCTGAACTCTCCCAAACACGTGGGAAAAAATGTTATGGTCTGATGAAACCAAAGTTGAACTTTTTGGGCATCATTGCAAAAGGTATATTTGGCACAAAATCAACACTGCTCATCACCAAAAGAACACCATACCCACAGTGAAGCATGGTGGTGGCAGCATCATGCTTTGGGGCTGTTTTTCTTCACTGGAACTGGTGCCTTAGTCAGGGTGGAGGGAATTATGAACAGTTCCAAATAGGGCACGATATATCGTTTGAGCATTGTCATCGCGATGTACGTGTGTGCAATAGTCACATCGCAGAGCCTGTGATGTCGGAGGCGAATGAACTCATCTAATTTCAAGGGTAGCTGACTGAGAGACACTGCATGTGACTCTGCATGTGACTTTGCATGTGCTGTGCAGCGATCCACCAATCACATTTGTTCTTTACTCAGTTGCCAACCAGACTACCCCCTACCAGCAATCAATCAAAATCAGAGAGGAGTAAACCACGCCCCTGCACATGGAGTGAGACGCTGGCGCTACCGGTGTTGTACCGAGACAGCATGCCCGCCAAGAATTGAGGTCCTTACACACCAGGCGCAAATTCGCCAGGCAAATTATTCGCCTTTTTTTAAAACAGCATAAAGTCAATGCAAGCTTCCACACCGGCGGCAATTTTTCCGCGGGGCGAAAAGCGACTTTTATTTTTTCGCTCTTGTGTCGAATTTTTCGGATATTCGCAGGCAAATATCTGGACCTGCTAGACCTCTGGCCAATCAAAAGTCATGTTGTTGATGACGTCACAGACCCATACGGCTGGAGGAGAGGGAGAAGTTTGAGATTATGAAAACGCAGAGAAAGACAGCTGAGGTGCATCCAAAGCTCTTTCTAATTACTAATGAAGTAGTTTTCTCACAAGATGACACTCTCTTGTCTTCCTTAGGAGACAAATGTCATGCACACTTCACAGGGTGACCTCCTCATCATGCCTGATTCTCCCTCTTAGCTGTTTGACATACCGATGATCTGCAGCTACAGGGCCAACAGAATGACCAGACAACTTGAAGGATCACTGCTCAGCCCTCGCTTCTCGTGGCTGCTGCGGCGTCTCTCACAGCTTTTCCTCCTCTTTCTCCCTCGCTCATAATGCTAGACATGTCAATCAGCAGCCATTCACACGACACACACCACCACTGGCACCAAGAGCAACGATGGGAGAGAGGCTGGTAATTGCGGTACAGGACCACCCCGCATCTCCTCTCCTCCGTGCCGCAAAGCGACTTTATTAATTCGCTTTGCGAAATTTATACGCATATTCGCTTCGCGCCTGGTGTGTATAGGCGAAAGCGATTTTTCGGACCGGCAAATATTTTTGCATTTTCGTCTCGCTTTTTCCGCTTCGCTCCGCAAATTCGCCGGTGTGTAAGGACCTTTACATTCAGTACATTCCTCATCACTGTTTAGCCCCAAAAATAAGAACTGTATGGTTTTAAATCGAACATTTCCGTAGATAACTCTACTATAAGCAGTGCGCGTTTCCGCTAGGTGCATGCGACTCTCGGAGGACGCGCATTTCTCGGCACAACACCAATAACAAAAACAACGATTCCAAAAGGAGCAACAAACAAGAGAAAAACACCAAAAAAAGGAAGACTTGTTGCCAAAAAGAAAAAAATCAATGTCAGTTATCTGAAATTATTTCGGTTACAACAAGGATGATATCGACCAAACACGTGTTCTGTGTCGGCAGTGCCTTTCATCAGTTGCCACAACAAGAGATAACAAGTCCCAGCACAATAGAAGTATGCTAAAAATATCTTTAAGATGGACAGAAGCCATTCTACTAACATTCACAAAAAGAGGTAAGATCAGTGCAGGTTAATTATCCACAAGATCTCAGCATGAAGTGCTATTCAGGTCATCTGGTGAAAATTCCTGTATTTTTTAATATCGCAATATATATCGCAGGATTGAAAAAAATCGCAATGTTAGTTTTTTCCAATATCATGCAGCACTAGTTCCATATACCAGTCGGTGTAAGCACAAAACCTTCAACCTTCTGCTAGAAAGCTGAAGATGAAGAGGAACTTGATCTTTCAGCATGACAATGGCCCAAAGCACATATCTTAATCAACAAAAGAACAGCTTCACTGGAATAAGATTGAGACTTTGGAATGGCCCAGCCAGAGCCCATACCTGAATCCCATTGTGAGGTGATCTGAAGAGGGCTGTGCGCAGGAGATGCCTTCGCAACCTGTCAGATTTGGAGTGGTTTTGCAAAGAAGAGTGGGCAAATATAGCCACATCAAGATGTGCCATGCTGATAGACTCCTACCCAAAAAGACTGAGTGCTGTATAAAAGCCAAAGATGCTGCAACAAAGTATAAGTTTAAGGGTGTGCATATTTATGCAACTATGTTATTTTGATTTTTCTATTTTCCACCTTAAAGGTTTCAGTTTGTTTTTCAATTGCGTTGTACAGGTTACAAGTCACATTAAAGGTGGAAAAATTTGTGAAAATATTAATCTTGCTGTCATTTTCTTACATCACGAAAACCTGGCAGTTGAACACGGGTGTGTAGACTTTTTATATCCACTGTAAAGGTCCTTACACACCGGGCGAGAATTCGCCAGGCGAATTATTTGCCTTTTTTTAAAACAGCATAAAGTCAATGCGAGCTTCCACACCGGCGGCGATTTTTCCGCGGGGCGAAAAGCCGCTTTTATTTTTTCGCTCTTGTGTCGAATTTTTCGGATATTCGCAGGCGAATATCTGGACCTGCTAGACCTCTGGCCAATCAAAAGTCATGTTGTTGATGACATCACAGACCCATACGGCTGGAGGAGAGGGAGAAGTTTGAGATTATGAAAACGCAGAGAAAGACGGCTGAGGTGCATCCAAAACTCTTTCGAATTACTAATGAAGTAGTTTTCTCACAAGATGACACCCTCTTGTCTTCCTTAGGAGACAGATGTCATGTGTCATGTCTGTGCCGCAAAGCGACTTTATTAATTCGCTGTGCAAAAAATATACGCATATTCGCTTCGCGGCCGGTGTGTATAGGCGAAAGCGATTTTTCGGACCGGCGAATATTCGCAATTTTCGTCTCGCTTTTTCGCTCCGCAAATTCGCCGGTGTGTAAGAGCCTTAAGTCTTTTGGCCAAAAACCGAAAATGCACTTTTAGGCTATTTTCAGCTGAAAATATTTGGTGGCCGAATTTTTGGTGCATCCCTAGAATTAATTAAAAAAAACAATAATACTGACTCTTGTCTCTGACGGTGTACTTGTTTTTTGTGGGTCATTGAGTGACAGCAGTGTCAACTTAGTCTGTTTCTTAACCGATAAAATCCCTCTATGGGAGCTTTAAGTAAGCAGCTAAAATACCAAACGGATTGTTTCCTTCTTTAAAAATGTCTTTCCATACTCTGGAAAATATTCTGACTGTTTCAGTTTTTACGGTCACGTCCACAATTGTGAGCTTTTTATAAACTTTATTAACATACAACAAAGAAATTCTTCAGACTAAACTTACTAAAACAGCAGCTCTTCTCTTTTCAGCGGTTTTATAGTCAAGCACCAAATGAAACCAGACTGTGAGAGTAAATTCAGGGCAAGTCCCTTTAACATCATTTTGGGACAAATTTGAGAAATGTCAGTGTTGCCTAATTAGAAACCAGAAGTCGACGATGGTCTATCAGCAGTTCCTGATTTAGTTGGTAATTAATGTCAGGTCACTGGAAAAGTAAAAACCGTGTATTTTTCAGGGCAGTTCTGAGCCTGATTCTTTGAGCTAGCTGACTAGCCCGGCCCTTACTCAGCCACTCTGTCTCGGCCTCCAGCAGCAGGATGTCCCGCAGCTGTCTCCGCAGGCTCTCGTTCTCCCGCTGAGTTCTCGCGGTCTCCTCCCGGTACTCGGTCACCGTGTCCTCCACCACGTCTAGGATCTCCTTCACCACCACCGTCAGCCGCTCCGTCAGGTAAGCGTTCAGGAGTTGGAGTTTGGTCATTTTGGTTCCATAAACAGCTGCAGCAGCAACCACACCGGAAACAGAGCCGGACAACAACAAACGAAACAGGAAACGACTCCCCTGATCTGCATCGATTCTTCTTCTTGATTCCTTTTTTTTGGCGGTTGGCTAACAACGTTATGGTGAATTACCGCCATCAACTGGTCTGGAGTGTGGATCTGGATCTTAATAATACTAATGAAAATTAAAAAAATAAAATAAAATAAAATAAAATAATAATAATAATAATAAATTACATTCTTTCTATTAACTCTGTCCTTAGGAACCTGATTATTATTCGATATGACTCTTCCGCAGAATTCCTCTGTATCAAATCCTTTGGATTGTATCTCATCTTTATTCTACTTAAATTTCTTATAAGGTTCCTCCTTTCAGCCTCCTATTTTGGGCACTGCATCATAAGGTGTTCTAATGTTTCTTGACTATTGCACTGATTGCATGTTCCATTGTTGTGTTTTCCTATTTTATGTAATGTACTGTTCAGTCCAGTATGTCCAAATCTTATTCTAGATATTATGGTTTCTTCTTCACGAGTTCTGGTAGTTTTTCTCATTGTCCCTACTTGTCTTTGTATTCCATAAAACCATCTTCCCATTTTCTCCTTATCCCATTGCTCCTGCCATCTTTGTTTGTTCTTATGTTTAACTATGTTCTTTACTTCTGTTTTGCTAAATGGCACTATAATATCCATTTGCCGCTTTTCTGTTGCTCTCTTAGCACATTTATCTGCCATTTCATTTCCAACTACTCCTATATGAGCTGGTATCCATACGAATACTACATATAACCCTAACATTTGAATCCTAAACAATGTTTGTTTAATTTCTGTTGTCAAATCTTGTCTGCTGTCTGAATGGTAGTGATCCAAGCTGATTATTGCTGAACTTGAGTCTGAACCTATAATTGAGCTGAGTGGTCTCACATCTTCTATCCACTGCAGTACCAGAATTGCTAACATTTCTCCTGTATATACCGCCAGTCCGTCCTCAATGCGCTTAAAAATTTTGACCTTAAATTCTGGGACAATTACTGAAACACCTGCATTGTTTGCTAGGTTTTTTGATGCATCTGTATAAATTTGTACATAACTATAGTATTTCCTTTCAATGTAGTCTTGTATGATCTGTCCTATGATTTCTTTATTTTTGGTTTTCTTCTCCAGTAATGTTAGATCTACCACAGGATCTGGTAGAAGCCATGGCTGAATTGTTGGTAGTGGTACAGTTGGGCTGATGTTTATTTCATTTATTTCTAGTTCTTTTGTTTCTAGCTCAACTGTCCATCCAAAACTTTTTATCTTTCTTTTCTCCTTTTCCCAGCACAGTTTTAGTACTTCTTGAGTTGGGTGATTCTCCTTATTTCTCCTTATATTTATTTGATATTGGATCCTATCTAGTTTTGCCAGTGCTGTATCTGCTGCTGACCTTAATATCACACTTCCATAATCTAATACTGACCTTATTAATACAATGTAAATGTTTTTTAATGCCACTCTTTCTGCTCCCCAATCCCTTCCAACCAGACACCTCATTATGTTAATCATTTTTTTGCATTTGTTTACTATTTTTTCAATGTGTATATTCCATGTTAAGTTTTCATCAAACCATATTCCTAAAAACTTAACGTTTTTGACTCTTTCTAGCTGACCATACATTTTTAAAGTTATATTCCTTCTTATTCTTTGACATGTGAAGAACACTGTTTTTGTTTTGTCTACTGAAAATATAACCCCCCACTTATATGCCCATTCTTGTATCTTAACAATAGTTTCTTGCAACTTTTTAAAATAAATTCTATATTTCTCCCTCTTTTCCACAGCACTCCATCATCTGCAAAAAGTGAACAACCCATTTCTTTTTCTAGGCTACTAAAAACATCATTTATCATAATTGAAAATAGCATAGGACTCATGGTGCTCCCTTGGGGTGTTCTATTTTCTATACCAAAATTTCTTGAACAGTGTTTACCTATTCTGACCTGAATCTTTCTTCTATGTAAAAAGTCCTTAATCCAACTATACATTTGGCCTTTAATCCCCAATTTTGCTAATTTAATTAATAATCCCTCCTTCCATAGCATATCGTATGCCTTTTCAATGTCAAAAAATACTGCTACTACACTTTCTTTATTGACCTGAGCTTTCCTTATTTCATGTTCTAGACATAGTGCTGGGTCCATTGTATATTTCTGCCTCTTCTGAATCCACGTTGTATTGCTGAAATATATCCATTATTTTCCATATAATATGTTAATCATGTATTGATCATTTTTTCCATTATTTTACACACATTTGATGTTAGTGCGACTGGTCTGTAATTTTCTGGTTTTGTCCTGTCTTTCCCTGGTTTGCCTATTGGTATCACCACAACCTCTTTCCAGTTTTTTGGTAATTTTCCTTTCTCCCAGATCCTGTAATATAAATCTAATAGAATATCCTTAGACGAATCACTTTAACAGTTGCGCAGTTATAACAAATCTGATCTTTTCCTGGAGCAGATACCTTTGTTTTCTTAAGAGCTTGGTTTAATTCTGCTTTTGTAAATGACAAGTTTAATACATCGCTTGTTCCTTCCTCCTGTTGCACCAGATCTACATTTTCAGATAATGTCTTCTCCCTTCCTCTTTGTCCCTCTTCACTGATATTACTGACGCTATGTACTTTAACAAAAGTCTTGGCCAGTACTTCTGCTTTATCTTCCACTGTTACCACATTCTTCTCATTAACCTTTAGTACCGGATATCCAAATTCTCTTTTCATTCCATTCATTCTTTTTTATCATTCCCCATACTTTCTCAGTTTCTGCATCTCTCCCTACTGAACAACAAAACTTCCTCCAAAAGGGCTTCTTTGCATTTTTAATTGTTCTTCTCACCTTCGCCTGTAACTTTTTATATTCAATAAGGTTCTGGAAGTTATGTGTTTTTTTTAAATATTTTAAATGCTTTATTCCGGGATTTAATTACATTTTCACATTCTTTCGTCCACCATGGCACTATTTTCTTTCTCTTCCCTCCTCTCTTCTTTCGTATTGATTGATTTGCCACAACTTAAAACTGCCTCACATACTGCACGGTTATATTCTTCTATGTCCTGTTTTTTTTTTACACTAATCTGCTTGTATTTTTCCCAGTTGGCCCCACTGAACACCCATCTTTCTTAGCCAATTCTTGTTCCCTTTCCATTGTTTATGCATACTAGATTTTACCTCTTCTACTACCTCCCCATTTCCATCATTATAGTTACCCCATACTGTGCTATTAGCATTAAAATCTCCACAGCAAATTACTTTGCCCTCTAGATTTCTAGTAAGCTCACCTAATGACTCTATTGACAGTTTTTTGCATGGATTGTAAAAATCCACCACTCTGATTACTCCTTCTTTTGTCCATACTTCAATTGTTATCATTTCCAAATATTTCCCCTTCTCCAGTATTTCATATTGAATTCCTTGTGTCACAAATATTACACATCCTCCCCCAACTCCATCCATTCTATCCCTGCGCACACTGACATATCCCTTAATAACAAAATCTAACTGTGGTTTAAGCCACGTTTCTTGTACACATATAATTTCTGGTTTGTTTCTGATACCATCAACAACTCTTTTGAATTCTTGGCCATTTGCTATTAGACTCCTTGCGTTCCACTGAAGAATAATCAGATTGTCTTTTCTCCCCCTACTCCTTGTCTGCCACCATCCTCAAGCCTCCTATTGACTTGTTCCCAAGATATGTCCTTTATTTCTAGAAAATTTTCAGCACCCCTGACTATTATTCTAACTTTCTCTGTCTTGTTTCTGGCCTGGTCTGTACAGTTGACTACATATGCAATGAACACAATCAATCTTTCAATATCCACTCCCATTTTTATTTTATCATGTTCTCTCTGTTCTTGTTCTGTCCTTGTCCTCTCGTTGCCTCTGTCTGTTTTATACCTATTCTTTTGTTCTTGAACTTTCCTTACTGCTTCAGCATAGCTTATATTGTTTGCAGTCTTCACCTGTTGAATTTCAACTGCTCTTTTTCTGCTCTCACAGCCCCCATACGTCACTCTGTGCTGGCCACCACAGTTACAGCACTTGTTCTCCATATGATCGCCACATTGCTAGTATGTGTGGTCCCCTCCACATGTAGGGCACCTTTGTTTCCCCTTGCATGCTATCACGATATGTCCATATCTCTGGCATTTAAAACATCGAAGTGGAGGAGGGACATAAGGCCTGACTGGAAAACTCATGCACCCTAGCTTGATCTTCTCTGGGAGCACTGATCCCTGAAACTCCATCAGTATTGATAAGCTTTCCACTCTCTCTCCATTAACTGATCTTAATAGTCTTTTCATTCTATTAACCTCTCCTCCTTGAATGCTACGTTTCAGTTTGTCAAGATCTTCATCAGTGGGAATACCAGATTTTACTCCTGCAGAGGAGCTGGCCCTCTGCAGCCATCGGGGTCGACCCATGTGGAAGTGGCAGCAGTCACCTCCGGGCCAAACTGTTGCAGGGTAAGATGATAATCCACTCAGAATTGCAAATTTTGAGGAAATTTTTGCAAAACACTTATTGAATAAAATGTGTCTGTCTCATGACACAGTTTGCGCTGTAAGCTTTTTATTTTTCACTGTAATCCATTAATGGGCCTATTTAATTTATAGTTTCATTGATCAGACTTACCTGCAATGGTGTAAAAGCCTTCTTTGATTTCCTGGTTGGGCAAGTGGCCTGGGAATGCCACAAACCCATCCAGGAGCTCGGTGAGGGCAGACACCCTCTGGATGGTGCCACACACCGTAGCTTTGCTCAGCATTTCGGCGTCGCCAACAGTATGTAGATATGTACCCAATGCATAAAAGCGAAGGGCGATACACACACTCTGCGGAGCCGTTAGCACACAGCTTCTACGAGTGTCGCAAGCCACGTATGGCTCTAAAAGCTGGCAGATGTACACCAACCCCTCTCTGGAAAACCGGTACCTTTCATAAAGGTGGTCATCCGGAAAAGTAAGTGGGTCCGTGCGGTTCCTGAAAACTCTCGCGCGCCAGAGTGCTCGTCGGACAATGCGAGCACCGAGGTCTATAGGATCCTCCAAAAACGGATAAGCCATATTTCAAGAGAGCTCATTGGTCAGTGGGCGAGGTTTTTAAACTCGGTGAGTTCAATCTGAAACCTAACCTGCCCCGTAGCAGGTTAGCCGTTCAGTGTACGTTGCTATGGAGACTTGCCTCGCTAAGAAGTGAACCCGCGTCGTAGAACAGGAAACCCCGAACTTACCCTCGAAGTTACCTCGCTAAGCAGTAATCCTGATTCATAGAATAGGCCTCAGGTATCTGTCAGAATAATGTGTATTTAATGTATATAGAAATTATCAATAGTCTCACTCAAATTCCAAATGGAAAAGTTTCCTACAATTATTAACTGCTTTAACCTCTTTGTCACACAGCACATGAGTGTTTTCTAACTTCTCTGACCTTGTTTCTCCTACCAGCAGGTATGTGTTTTGTAACCTCCGCTGTGAGACGTGGGAGGTAATATAAGGAGGATCCGCTCCCATTAGAAGGAGCTTGTTAAATGTCAACAATGTCACCTTGACCCTCACAGATTGTCTGCTTGTAAATAGTTGTGTATTATGAGAGTGCTTACGCTGCTGAACACAGTTTTCCCCTTTAGTGTATGCAGCGTTGTGTAACTAGGGACCACCCTAAGGATAATAAAAAGAGAGGTTGGATGGGGATGCTTTAGAATGGTTTGAGATTTGTAATTGTACGCATCTCTGTCCGTTCTCCTCACGGGTAAGAAATCTAATACCGTTGTCTTTCTCTTCTTTGTGTTTGAGTCATTTGTTGCAGGTTTTAGACCTAATAGTATCACTGTGAAAGACCAGACCATGACATATCATGCAACCAATACCCACCCAAATTAAGCTATTTCGTTTAATTCATTTATTTTATTTCATTTTTATGGGTTGATTTTATTTTTATTTGTATATTTTATTTTATTGTCATCTGTTCATTTTATTTTTATGTATTGTATTATTATGTATGTTATTTATCTATTTATTTATTCATTGTTAAAATTATCTATATGTTTATCAACTCTGGCATGGGTTATGATCATCTGACATTAAATTAAGAGCTGAAACAACAACAACAACAACACATATTTACTCCTTATCAGTGTAAAATTGACAAAGTAGGCTACAACCAGACAGAGTGCATGCATATCCCTTTTGTGCTACTGTAAACATAAGAAAATTTATTAAAGTAACCTTATGTTCTTACAAGTGAACTAACGTTCACACTATGCAGTGCACACTTGGACCACGTGAGGGCAGTCAAACTCCATTCTTTTAATCGCACCTGCCAACATTATGACAAATGTTTAACTTTTCAAAATAAAATGAACTAATAGACATAATTTACCATCACTATGTCACTATTATGATTTTTGTTTGTTTGTTTTCAGCTTTTATTTTAAGTGTTTCAGATTTTTTATGAAACTTGAATATTCAGGAATTCAATTTGATTTTGTTAATGTATCTGCACTCAACATCATTACTAATATGAAACAGAATGCCATTAATGACACTTTAAATATGGGGGAAATGAAAGATATGGATAAATGTAATATTTTTAAGGAAAACGTGGCGTTCTGGTGTGTAGGTTGTGCATTGTTGGGATAGTGCTCTGTCAGCAAAAACACAGCAGGATGGGGACAAAAATAATGCACAGCAAAGTACTCATAATCATCTAAGATTAACAGGAAATCCGACTTTTTCCTTCAAAATACTTTGTAAGAATTTGAGGCGTTTGTATTTGACCTCAGCTTTTGACTGACACTTAAAGACGACTATAGGGGATATAGTTTTTGTTTGAACAGCTTCATATCTGACTAGTTTAAGGTTAAAATTAATCTAATCTTTCGCTATTTTTCAATAAATCTATGCAGATTCCTGCTTCACTTGTAAATCGAAATGGCTTTGGAGTGTAAAATAAGTCAATCAAGTCCGAGACATAATGTGTTAAAATAAGCTTTAAAAAAACAATCTTAATAAACAGTGAATACCGATTAATGAACAAATGTTCATACATCTGCATCTTTTAATACTTTTACTACATCAGGGAAATATATACGTGCATATTGGACTTTCACTAACTCATTTGATATAGTTCTGATATTTTTACTTCAGGTAATGGTCCTCCAACATTGGCTTGAAATCCACACAAACACGCAACTTTTATTTTGAAAAAAAAAAGAAAAAAATCTGCGTCTTTAAGTTTAGCTAACTTTACAGTGGAGAAAAGAAGCTACACACACACACACACACACACACACACACACACACACACACACACACACACACACACACACACACACACACACACACACACACTTAAGCACCCCTCCCTTTCCGTTTACCTCTTGCAGTGGAACGGAGTGAGGGCTGCTGCAGATACATCCCACCGCTCGGCTCAATCTGAAACGGGAATCACGTTAGTTTAAAAAAACAGATTTGACCACCGATTTCGAACCTCTTTAAAATCTACCATTTAAAACATCTTCTCATTGCTCAACCAGAATTTTTTGTTTAATATTTTTTGGCGTCTCGGTTTTGTTGCTTCATCTGCATCATCGGACTATACCTTCTGAACCTCCAGCAGAGACACCATGAACACTAGCCTACAGCTCCCTGTGGATTAGGACCAGGTAAAAATCATTTTCCACATGTTGGGTGTGTGAAACATGTGCTACTGCTGCTGCTTTCCGTCAGTGGGTGTGTCGGCTCCCATCTGCACGGCCGGCATCACACCTCCCTTCCTTCCTTTTGTCTACATTTGGTGCATTTGTACAGTCTGTAAAATAAATAAATAATGTACCAAAGTAAGGCTAAAGTCACGCTGCTCTCAGGGCTGATCACTCCAGCTCTTTCAAAGCAGCAAGCAAGAAAATCAGCAACAAAGAAGTGTTTCAAAGCCCCAGTATTCCATCTTTAGCTCTAGATCTTACAAATCTTACGAATCTTACAAATTATTTCACACATTAAACACCACTTGTCATCTGTACCTGCTGTTTGACAAAACTCAGGATTTCAAATTGTAAAATGTCATATTCATGTTAAGTTTAGACTTAGCGCTAAAATAAGGGATGAAAAAAAGAAGCAGATAGTTGTGAGACTGAGACTGCTCCATGGCTGGTCTGTGTGTGTGTGTGTGTGTGTGTGTGTGTGTGTGTGTGTGTGTGTGTGTGTGTGTGTGTGTGTGTGTGTGTGCGCGCGCGTGTGATTGAGAAATGATTGTTCTCTAAAAACAAAAGAAATGAAGATCTGTTTCATCTCCTTGTGCTAAAAAAAGATCTTATAATGCTGCAGTTTTTAGCTTAAAGTTTAACCTCCTTTAGATCTTTCTTGGAGCTCATCATGCTGCTGATGGTCATGATGGCCTGTAAATGTGAGTAAGATAGTCAGATGAAGACGTTGGTGCTTCAACGTCAGGCCAGGTCTGAGTTTTTTGCATTGCAGCAGTGACCAGGAAAAGAGGAAAATTACAGGTAAGGTAAAATTAGCATAAGTTCTGGGTAGGCTGAATTTGAAATCCTTGAATGGAAACTCTGTGTATCATTTCAGGATTGGCACACGTTAAAAAGAGGGCTGAAGTCTGACTTAACTGAATTAGGAACCACAAATCTCAGGTTAGATGGTAATGATCCTCAACCCCCATTCAGAACATCGTTAGACCCGTGCAGCATTATTGCTGCTCAGCTAAGATGTACTTTTGATTTCAGGCTGATCTTCATTTTAAGTAGCTTTTTCCTTTTTTAAAGTTTTAACAAAAACCTTTGACTAAAATATGGAACAGTTCACAAGACTGGTTTCAACATATTTTTTTTTTTTTACAGTCAGTGATATCGCTCTTTCTAAGAATGTTTTCTAGACCTAACAGACCTCTGACCCGCTCATTTTTTGGGTTTGAAATAGGTATTAGTGGGGATACATAATGCTATGCTATCATCAACTGGTTCACTAAAGCTCAAAGCCTGGATAATCACAAAAAACAAAAAATCATATTGATGCTTTTCTAAGACATACAAAAGAAAACAAAACCAGTCGTTAACAAAAAGGACTGTTTTCTACTGCAAGTTTTTACACCTGAAACTGAGGCATTCCTGTTTTTACAGTCTATGAAAAACAAACATTAAATGATATATCGGACTGTTAAAAGTCAGATATTTATTCTTTTGTCCAAAAAATGCTTCTAAAGCATGTAGACAAGTTTTAAAAGAGAAAAACTGGATTTAAGAATTACAACTGACAAAAACATTTAATCTTAATCTAGTAATATTAAATCAGAAACGGGAAAAAATAATCACAGACTTGTGGCTAATTTTCTTCTACATCATACCAGATTTGAGTAAAAATCAAATTTACTGGAAAATGAATATCTCCCTGTGAGTGATGACAATAACAATAAATGTGTTGCTGATAGTTTCCTCAATCAAGATCCAGACTTTCCGATTTTCAGTTCAAATTATATATATATATATATATTTTTCAAATTAAGTAATCTTTTGGTTTTAATCTTGCTCAATTAAAAAAAGCTTAAAAATTGGTCTCATGTCTACAAAAATAAACAAAGGACAGTTACAGCTGTAAAGATTTGAATATGAAGCATAAAGTAATATTGCACATTATATTGAAATGTATGGCAGTAAAGTAAGTGCAGGACCAACATGTTTTGAATGAACTGTTAGAAGTATGCAAAAGGACCTCAGAAATGTTGCTGCAGAGTCACGCACAGAAAACAGAATCATTTGCGCTCTCACTCTAAAAGATCTTAAACTTGAGAGAAACTAAACTCTTCGTTGATCATAACAGCCAATTATTTCTATTAAGACAGCAGTTTGGTATCATATAAAACCCTCTTTACTGTAAAAATGATGGTTACTTTTTGCTGTGTTTGAAGAAATCAATGCTGCACTGGCACGTGCAGTATCACAGCCCCTGTGTGCAGGACTCTGCTGCTGTGTGACGACTCCTGAATATAAATACACTCTCAGCGGCCACTTCATCAAGCACACAATGAACCAGCCACTAATTCTTCCTTAACAAGCAAGTTTTTGTGGACATGGTTAAAGAGGTGTTTGTCTTCATGGATCAGGTTGTATTTGAGGTTGATGTTGAAAGCTGATTGATTTAAGACTTTTCCCCATAAAAACTGTAAAGTAGCCTATTGAATTCAAAGCAGAGTTGTATCATTGGATCACATGGGATTTTACATGTTGTCTTATGAGATATCTGGTTTGTGACTATCAGACTGAAGACTCAGGCTGTGTCTCATTTCAGAGACCGCATCGACCTAAGTGCCCTTCTGCACCGTCGAACGGCGCATTTGAAGCGTGCATGACGTCACGACGGTGCGAACGGTGTCCCATTTGGCACGAGATGCTAAAAAATGCTAAGCGCGCTTAGCATGTTTTCAAGCGTGCATTTATGCACGCTTTCGTGCCGTCGGTATCCCAGAATGCTTTGCGTGCCACTGCACAGGTGCACCAGAGCAATAGATTAAAACAACAACAAACAAAGCAATGTTTTAATCTACTGCTCTGAGGTGCACCGTTCGGGTGAGACAACAGACAAGCATAAAAGCGCACCTGCACACATCAAGGATGTTTGAAACATGGCAGGCAAAGCCGGCGGCCCCGCCTTTACATGTAAGTACTGGATTTAATTTCATGTCAACAGGTGAAGCAAAGCCTTTAAAGGACATTGTGAACATTTCTAAATGTTTGTAAAAGATGATTAGATGGTTGCAGGTGATGCCCGAGTGTGTTAAATCAGCCCTTTTGCCCTGTTGAAGCTATGCAGGCAACGCATATGCCGACTGTTTCAAATTGTAGTGTTGGTACTTGACATCCACTTCAATTCCCAGGTGTAAGGTACTGCCAGGGGATGACGTAAATGTGTATGGGGCAAATATGCTGCAAACTAGATGCTGCAAGTACAGTGCAGAAACATGAACAACTCAGGTCTAAATCACTGTGGTGTGTGTTACAGCACTGTTTATGTCATACCAGAATCTGACATGTAGCCTATGTTTGTTTTTTTTGTTCGTTTGTATTTGCACTACATATAGAGCACATTGCAACCTTGTTTAGAAAATTGCTGTAAAAGTAATGATGTTATTAGAGTTATTATTAATATTTAGAAAAACCCTTACAGTTTTGAGGGTTTTGCTAACAGTTTTTTGCTAACTGCTTTATCAGCAGTGAGCCCTGATAAAGAAGGAGTAAAGGTCAAACCTCTTTATGAAGTGCACAATGGCCATCCATCAGCCTGGACAATTGATCTGACATGCATGTGTGGATTCAAAATACAAATGTTGGCACTGTGTGCCTGCATTGTTATCCATTCAGATACACACTTGGAATAAGTCACACATTAAAAGGTTCACACTTATGTTTTTGCAGGGACAAGAGAGATAAGTGAAAAATTCATCCGGCTCCGGGGGGAGAGGGAGCACCTCTTCACCGGAGCCAGAAATTCCGCTGCTGCTGGATGGCGGTAAGGAACACCAAATGCTCAAGAAGTTATATCTGCCCGTAGTATGTTACATTATAGGTCATGTGACTGATTATGAATCTTGTTATGAACTCTTGTATGAATTATGAACACTTGTGTGTGAATGTGACATATATATTAACCTTTTGTCTCACTTCTCTTTGTGACAAGAGCTGTACTGACAGAGCTGCGGATCCTGGGCCAAGTCACACCCCTCCAAGCTAAGCGGAAGTGGGAAAATCTGAAAAGAAAATATAAAGTATGTGAAGGTTTTTATGATGCTGCTTAACATTGAACATTGGGTCATGAAGAATGTGTTGGTTTCCCCCCCTGCAAGTTATTAAACAGTTTTTCTTTTTCTCAGGATTGCAAAGAGCCTCCCACAGGGGCTGGGGCAGGGGGAGCAGTGAAAGCTGCCACTTGGCCCTTGTTCATCCTCATGGATGAGATGCTGGGGCAGAGGCCATCAATAAAACCCCCAGTACTGATTGCCTCACTTCCAGAGGATGAACCAGGGCCAAGTGGCACTGCACCTGCCAGGCAGCAGCAGCAGGAGGAGGAGGAGGAGGAGGAGAAGGAAGAGGAAGAAGAAGAAGAAGAAGAAGAGGAGGAAGAAGAAGAGGAGGAGGAGGAGGAGGAAGAGGAAGAAGAAGAGGAAGAAGAAGAAGACGAGGAGGAGGAGGAGGAGGAGGAGGACGACGACGATGATGATGAAGTGCAACCTCGCCCAAGGGGGAGGAAAAGGAAGAGGAGGCCAGCATCTGATCCGCTCCTGGCTCTGATAAAACAGGACATTCAAAACCAGCAACAAGCTGAGGCCAGAAGCCAGGAGCGGATGGACCGGATGCTGGCCTTACTAGAAAAAATGGTGGACCGTAATTGATTTGTTTTTGTTTATGTTACTATTATATTCACTCTTATTTCAGGAATTTTTAATTTGAATGGACATTTTGTATTTTTTTACATTAATAATGGCATTTAATTTATTAAAGAATTCTATGTTGCTTACACCGTCTCCAGTCTATTCATTTATCCCTCCTCAAGCTGTTTTGGCAACAGGGTGGCCAGACAGCATCCAGTGCATCCGTAACGGAATTACAAATAATGTTTAGTGATTTCACTTGCCATGCCTCGCATTGGGTTCTTTTATTAAGGATGATTAGTACTGATGTTCAGATTCCCTGCAGCCCTCAAATGCAACACCCCTGGGGATTTGGGAAGTGAACCCAGGTATGCAGCAACAGTTGTCCTGCGCTGCTTGCCTGGTAAGTCCACATGTTGTGATGTCCGTAATTATTTGTTTTAATTATCTTTAAAGTTCCATATTTAAGAGGGTACTTATGTCGTAATTTTATGCTTGCAGTGAAAGAGCGGCCGCATGTCTTGTGTAAGACCTGACTGTGTTAATATCTGCCAGATGCTGAATAAGCGGCAGGTGCCAACCACAGAAGTACGGTTTCCCTCCTGAAATAATTACACAACGCAAGTACGACCGCTACACATCCTCGCATAATAAAGATTTCAGAGTTTTTATTTTTGAGTTATATCTTTTTATTAAAAGGTGAGGAAAATGAAAATGGAATAAAATACTGAGGTCAACAACATACAAACTGGAAAAGCACTCGGAGAGCGCAGACCTCAACCAAGCAGCTCATGTCCCCCCTTATATTGTGATTCACACCAAAACTTTTACTGTTACTGTTTAACCGCTCTGAAGAGTACCTTGCCGTCTCCTCGCTTTTCATTATCCTTAGGGTGGTCCCTAGTTACAAAACGCTGCATACACTAAAGGGTGGGGAAACAATCTGCAGCAGCGTAAGCACTTTCATAACACATAATTATACTAGAGTAAGCATGTGCAGACTTCTTCTGTAGATGTCAAGATGACCGCTGACATTTCAGTCTCCTTTGTGGTGGTTAACTGTTCACAGCGGAGACAGGTACCCATCTGCTTATCTGCTTACTGGAAGAAGGCAAGCTCAGAGATGTAAGAAAAACACACAAGTGTCTGCTCATGTGTTAAGAAGCAAAAGGTAAAGGCATTTAAAGCTACTGATAATTTCTATAAACTTTTATACACATTACTCTAACAATCCAGAAGGCGATCCGGATCACCACCAAAATGTAATGGGATCCTCCTGGGGCTGAGACGCACCTTTGGTGAAAATTTCAGGTCAATCCGTCTGTAACTTTCTCCGTAAAGTTGCTAACAGACAAACAAATAAACAAACCAACGCTACCAAAAACATAACCTCCTTGGCGGATTTAAACATTGGCAAAACGCTAACTCAAACAGGCACCACTGTATAAACAGAACTTAACAAACTCAGGACATTTGGGCTATTGCCTGCCCTCCCATGGTGCCTCCTCCAGGCTGAGCAGGAGTCTCTGGCAGTGCTGCTGGGCTGGATGGGACACCACAATAGAGACTCTGGTGTCTGCTGGCAGTGGGACATCATGTGGGTGGTCTGGGTGTTTTGGATGCATGTCTCCACTGTCCTCCACATCGTCCGGATTTGCAGGGCTGGTTCGACGGCTGCCATGCCTGTTTTAAAGAGAGAAACAATAGTAGGCTAACAGAGTCCAACAATTTTTAAGTCGCATCTTCTGAGGTCTAAAAATCTGATCAGTAACCAACAAACATTCTGTGGCACACAGAGGAGAAACTTTAGATGAATTGTACTTGCCGATTACAGGTAGACGTGGTCGTGGTCTACCTCCTCCAGGGCCGACACCTCTGCGGACAATCTGTCCCGCCAGCGGGCACCACTGACTGCCTCCAGCCTGTCCTCCACCTCATCCCCCGGCATGCCGTCCTGCACATCTTCCTCTGGTGCCAAGGTGTCACCGGCACCCAGGCAGATATTGTGCAGGACGGCACAAGCGGTGATGACCTGAATTTTAGAGGAATATTTATATGAACATAAAGTATATAGACCTTTAATAAATAAAAAAAATATAACAATATAAGTATAATAATATATAATAAGTTTTCGTGTTTTTATTTAATTAATTAATTAATATATATTCAAGTATAACAAAAATATTGTGTGCAGGGATGACGTACCTGTGGCACGAAGGTGTGGCGGATCTCCAGCGCTTTGAAAAAGATGGCACGAAATCGGGTCTTCATCATGCCAAAGGCACGCTCAATTATAGAGCGTGCCCTGGCATGATGCCCGTTAAAGCGCTGGGCCGCCACACCTCGCACCTGCAGCCTGTAGGGAGTGATGAGGGGGAGTGGGTGCTGGAGGCACGGGTACCCGCTGTCTGCCAGAATGAAAGGCCCTGGAGGAGGGTAGATGTTCTGCCTGTACAGTGGGCTGTGCCGGAGTATCCTTGCGTCATGCACAGACCCCGGCCAGCCCACGTAGGTGTCAATAAAGCGGCCCTGATGGTCACAGACTGCTTGCATGATGATTGATGCAAACAGTTTTCTGTTGATGTAGCAGTGACCATCAGGACCGCTTGGTGGCATAATTCTGACATGGCAGCCGTCGATTGCACCGGCAGCTTTGAGAAAAGCGCGGTGCCTAGCCAGCCCTGCAAACCCCCGAGTTACGGCCGCCAGGTCGTCAGCGGACCTCGGGAGGTAGATGACTCTGTGGCGAATGGCCACTACCTCCTCCGTAACTCGGTGGACGATGCGGTGGACAGTGGAGCGGGGCATCACAAACACCCTTGAGACCACCCGATATGATGTCCCACTGGCCAGCAAAAAGAGGAGAACCAAAGTCTCTATTGTGGCGCCCCATCCATGCCTCCGGTCCTGATGGAGGAGGTCCAGCAGCACTGCCAGGGACTCTCTGCTCAGCCTGAAGTCCTCCCTGGTGTCGTCGCCGGCGAAAAACCGTTGGAGGACCGGAACCCCCGTATGTAGCCTGCAGTTCAGGGGTCCGGTCTGCATGCGTTAGGAACAAAGCAGGAGAAAGAACGGTCATGGCATGGATGTCGCTTGCAATGATTGTGAATTGTGCAGGTTAATGTCTCATGTACTAACAGCCAATGTTGGCTTTTCAGCTGATGTTAGTAAACGAAATAATATTTTTTGACACCTATGAAGATTTCCATGACATGCACTGTTGTGAATTAAAGGGGGAATTCACGTGATACACAGGGAGTGACAATGGCACAACTATCGTGTGGCTGATGAATGCCAGATAAAATAACAGGTTTACCTCTCCACTTTCGGCACGCATTCTCAAGAAAAAGTACACAAGGCGCCTCCGTCGCCGCCTTGCTCGGCGGCGCAGCGTCACATCTTGATTTAAGGCAAAAGCCATTTGCCACATGGTTGCGACTTCCATTGTTGTCACCTGTGCTTGTTTACACCTGCACCTTCTGCGATCGGCGGCCTTTATTCAAGTCAGCCGTGACCCGGGCCTGCGGGCGGGGACATTTGGCGACCCAACCAGAGGGGTGAGATGGTCTGTCAGGCTCGCGTCACGACTGACTTAAAGGAAACCCGCGGAACGCAGCATTTATTTTTTAATTGTGCGACCTTGCACAGACACAAAATAGTAGATACATACAAGCACAGATCATTCCCACAAAATTCATCCAATGATTGTTTTGTATGAAGGACTATGAGGGCCATATTGAGATTGTTTTTTTAAGACTTCGAGATTTAAGTCGTGAATTTATGAGAATAAAGTCGTAACCTGTTATTTCAGAGGAGACTTGTTAAAGTTAGGGCCATGAAGCATTTGAAGGAACTGTGCTTCAGTATAGGTTTCACAAACAAGGAGATACTTCATCCTTTGGCACATCAGCATCACATTGTCATAAGTATAAAGACTTCAAAAAAAGAATATATGAGAAATACGTCTTTTCCAAGGGGAAAAAAAACAGGTGTACTAGAAGGAAATTGCTGCTTTTGTGGAGGCAGAAATGAATATGCTGAGGATATATCTGTCAATGCAGCCGTAAATATCGGTGAATGACATTGAGCTTTAGTTTATGATATGAATCCATCTGCCATAATAAGGTGTTGGTGTCTCTGCTGGTGTAGGTTACCGCCGGTGTCAGAGACGTGGTGCTCGTCTGAGCTCGACTCCCTCTGGATCACAAATGTTGATCATCATCAGTTTGATTGTTTCTTCAGAAACCACAAAATCTATCTGAATGACCCACTGATACATCCACCGATAACCCTGCAGATGACCAGCTTCAGTCATTTCCCCCTCCACAAAAGCAGCTTTATGACTGTATATACTTTATGACTTTATTCTCCTAAATTTACAACTTTAATCTCTAAATCTTAAAAGAAAAAAAAAACAAAACTCAATGTTGTCCTGATACTCTGCTGTAGTTTTGTCAGCTTTCTCATTTCTAATGTTTTTGATAGTTGTAACACAGCGGATCAGTTCGTCTCTAAATCTATGGTTTGGTTTACAGATTTTAGTGAGTTCAGAGATCATGCTCTCATACAGCCTGAGCTGACTGTCTGCTGTTTTTGGATTGCTTGTATTTTCTTCGAAGACCCGCTGTGTCTCCAAGCGAGTCCAGCCTCTCACCTGAAATGCACAGCTGTGCAGTGGCACGCAAAGAATTCTGGGATACCGACGGCACGAAAGCGTGCATACATGCACGCTTGAAAAAGAGGCGGGGGTAGTGTGGTTTTGAGACCGAATTTGAAGCGCGCTTAGTATTTTGTGCCAAACGGGACACCGTTCGTGCCGCGTGGTGACCTCACGTACGCGTCAGATGCGCCGTTCGATGGCTGCTGTATCTGAAATGGGACACAGGAAGGGCACAGAACGGCGCAAAACGGCTCAAAACGGCAGTGCACTCAGCTAAGCGCCGTTAAGTGCGCTTATCACGATGCGGTCTCTGAAATGAGACACAGCCTCAGATTGGGTAGTTTAGGACTTGGCTTGGAGGATGATCAGTTTAAGTGTCAGATACCCTAAAAGGTGGGGAAGGCAGGATTCTGTTAAAGAAGCATCTTTTTTGGTGGTGCATATACAAAAAAGCTGTTGAATATCAGTCAATAGCCATTAGTCACTGATGACATTTGGTAATTTAACAATATCACTGAGTTTTGTAATGTCTATGTAGTCAACATTTTACATTTTATGAGCGTCCCACTCTTTCAGACTGCAAAAAAATGTCTGAATCCTCCTTTGGCCACGACTGCCAACACAAGCTTTTTACTGTCACATTGACTGGGCCCCATTTGTAATCATCTGAAGTATTTATCTGCATTATATCTGAATTTAATTGAAAGGATACGAGCGAGCAGGAGCGTCTGTTTGTGGGTGGGGCTTGCTGGAGCAGAGAGGGAGGAGAGAGGAGGAGCTGAGGGGAAAACTTGTTGGGAGGGGTAGTGTTTTCAAGATTTCTCCCCAAAACTGGTACTTCCTCAAATCCTCCCTACCCCACCTTTAAGCAAAGCACTGAATCCCCAAGTGCTCATCCATTTGCAAGCCCCCCTCAGTCTGACATCTCTCAATGTTATGGATTCCGATAGAAAAGTTGAATTTCCTCACAGAATATGTTTGCCAACAGGAGTGTCTGCATTTTTGCTTTTTTTTTTTTTGTAGCAGTGTCAGCATTCAACAAGAAAAAAATTGATTTTACACCTAAAACAAATCTGAGAAGGCTAAAATCAACCTCTGCAATATGCAGCATCACTTTCATGTTTTCCTTGCTGGCAATGTCACTAAGTATAACACTCCTGTACTGTGTTAAAGAAGACAATCTTGCTCCTCCTGCACTACATTTAAGAGAATATCCACCTGTTAAAAGTTTTACATTTATCTGACAGTTTCAGAGAAATTCACTGTGAAGGTTGCACATAAAATTAAGAGTTTAAAAAATAAAATGTTTGATCCAAACTTCAACTGTAAAATCTCATTAATACATCATTATCTTTCTGCTGTCAATACTTCTACAATAATTTAATACTTGTTTACTTGAACAATTTTAATGTATTACTTTAACATATACCTGCATATTAATGCATCCAAAGTGCTTTGAGGCCCTTTTGAAAGATTACTGTTTTGTTTCAAGACACTAATGCTGAAATTCAGATGGAATTTGAGGACGAGTCCAACTCACTCTCTGAACTCCATCTTTGCAGTTGCCCAGAAGTTCTTTGGTACAAAAGCCTCAGAAATAAAAGAAAAGTTATAAAATACAAAAAAAAAAAAAATCATGGAATTAAAAACAGTTAAAAATACAAAAACATTTCATTAAATGAAAAAACAGTTATACATTACAATAATCTGTAATTAAATAAAAATATTAAAAACAAACCCATTTCATTAGAGGAAAAACAGTTATAAGGTACAAAACATTTCATTAAATGATAAACTGTTATAAAATAAAATAAAAAATCTGTATTTAAATAAAAAATATATATAATACAAAAACATTTCTACTATGCAAAAAGGTAACAAAATACAAAAACACTTATTAAATGAAAAATGTGTCAAATACAAAAACATTTTATCAAATGGATTAAAAGTAATCAAACTACAAAAAAATTCATGAAAAAAACTGTTATAAAATAATGAAACATTTTATCAAATGAATTAAAACTAATAAAATACAAAAAACATTTCATTATAAAACAGTTATAAAATACAATAACCTGAAATTAAATAATACAATTCTAAAATACAAAAAACATTTGACCAAAAAACAGTTATTAAATACAATAACCTGGAATTAAATAAATAATTTATAAAATACAAAGGCATTTCTTCAAATGCAAAAAAGTCATAAACCCAGAAAGCTTCAGAATTGGATTGCAGATAAAATAAATCAATTTTAGTACACACATTTTTTGGAACACACCACATGCCAAAACTAATTATTTAGAGTCCATTGAACAAAAAAAAAGAGAAACATATTTTTACATTTTCCAAATGTATTTGAATATCCACTTAAATATCCCTTTTCCTGTGGTTTAGTTGTTTGTAAAGTTATTTTGTTATATTGTGTAATGTTTTTACAACTCATTTGTGCATATTTCAAAAATACTTGTTTTTTCTAAACTATCTTCAAATGATGCGCTTGAACCGAGAGGTTGCTGCAAGTCTGGTCTCTCTGTATTATCTGTAATTTTTGTAGTTTTTGCTAGATTTTTTAAAATATTTTTGTTGTCATTTTGTTGACTTCTGATGAATACTTCTGCTGGGCGAAGAGTTTACTCAAGAGAAGAGCTCCTTACATTAAGGCAAATCAAATCTGGCTAACAACATACAATTCCAGAGGACAGCAGGAGGTGTTATCGTGGTTACCGTGCTGGTGCAAAGGTGAAGGCAAAGCTGAATGCTAGGAGGTGGTGATATAAACCTTCTCTTCCACCAATCATCATGGGAAACGTCAACTCTCTGCCCAACAAAAGTAATGAGCTGGAGATATTGGTGAAGACTGAGAAAGCATACCATGAGTACAGTTTCCTGTGTTTTACTGAAACCTGGTTGAATCAAAAAGACTCAGACTTTAGAGTGGATCTACCTGGCTTTACTCTCATAAGGTCAGACAGAGATGCTCAAGCTGGTGGCAAGAAGAAAGGAGGAGGTCTGGCTTTATTTGTCAACCAGAGATGGTGTAACCCTTCACACATAACTGTCAAGGAGAAGTTGTGTTGTCCAGATATTAAACTGTTGGCAGTTGCTCTTCGGCCATATTATGTTCCAAGAGAATTAAGTCATATCATAACAGTAGTTTCTTACATCCCAACCAAATCAACTGAAAAAAATTCCACGCGATGTTTTGCAAAATAGTGTTGCCAGGCTACAGACTCAGTACCAGGAGGCACTAATAATAATATCAGGTGACTTCACCCATGTAACCCTCTCCCCTCACCTGACTGGATTCACACAGCTTGTGAACTGTCCTACCAGAGAAAACAAAACCCTGGATCTGCTGTATGCCAACGTCAAAGAAGCCTACAGAGCCACTGCCTTACCACCACTGGGCAAGTCAGATCATAACTTAATCTATCTGCAAACCTGTTACAGACCTTGTGTACCGAGGCAGCCTGTGACCAAAGTCAAAATCAGCAGATGGACCCCTCAAGCCAGTGAAGCTCTAAGGGACTGCTTTAAATCAACAGACTGGAATTTGCTGCTGGAAACAGATGTGGATAGTATGAACATTGACAAACAGGTTGACTGCTTTACTGAATATATCAACTTCTGTAGAGACACAGTTATACCCACAAAAACTGGTTACTGTTTCCCCAGCAACAAACCTGGGATCACAAGAGACATAAAAGCAATCCTCAACCAGAAAAAGAAAGCTTTAAAAGATGGTGACAAAGAACAACTCAAACAAGTGCAACAAGAGTTGAAGAGGAGACTGAAGATGGCAAAGCTGGAGTACAAAAAGAAGATGGAGAAGAATCTACAACAAAGCAACATCCGTGAAGTGTGGAGAGGAATCAGTACCATCTCTGGACACAGCAATAAAAAGAAAAGACAGCCAGTGGTGGGTGATCTGAAAAGAGCTGATGAACTCAACCTGTTCTTCAACAGATTTGACACTGCTGTCACACCCACTTCCACTGCTACTCCATCTTCCTCTCCGCAACAAATCTCCACTACAACTTCTCCCCATCCTCCTTCATCTCGTTGAAATGTCTCAACCACTTCAACTGCCTCCCTCCTAGAACACCAGTCCTTGTCTGTCACAGAAACAGGGGTGAGGATGGAGCTTGGAAGACCCTGTCCTGGGAAGGCGGCTGGTCCAGATGGTGTGTGTCCAAGGCTGCTCAGAGACTGTGCTGCAGAACTGTGTCAACCTCTCCACAGGATCTTCAACCTGAGTCTACAGCTGGGGCAGGTACCTACTCTGTGGAAAACATCCTGCATTGTGCCAGTACCAAAAAACAAAATGTCCTGCTGAACTCAATGACTACAGACCAGTGGCCCTCACTTCACACATCATGAAAACCCTGGAGCGGCTGATTCTACGCCTTCTGAGGTCTGGGGTCAAAGACAAACTGGACTCCCTGCAGTTTGGGTACAAAGAACACATTGGAGTGGATGATGCTGTCCTCTACATGCTTCACCGTGCCTGTCTCATCTGGAGGAACCTGGGGTTTATGTGAGGATCATATTCTTTGACTTTTCAAATCCATTCAACACCATCCAACCCACCATACTCAAAGACAAGCTTACGGGATGGGAGTGGATCCTGTCTGTGTTTCCTGGATCACAGATTACCTGACAGGAAGGCCACAGTTTGTCAGGCTGGGGAACTGTGTTTCTGGGACATTAATGAGCAGTACAGGGACTCCACAAGGGACAGTGCTGGTGCCATTCCTGTTCACACTGTATAAGTCAGACTTCAAATACAGCACTGAGTCCTGCCACATCCAGAAATACTCAGATAACACTGCTATTGTGGCATATATCAGAAATGGACAAGAAGCTAAATACAGGGATCTGATAAGAGCCTTCAGTGACTGGAGTCACAAAAACCTTCTCCTCCTCAACACCTCAAAGACAAAAGAGATGGTCATAGACTTCCGTAGATCCAGACCCCCTCTTCAGCCAGTGAACACCTGTGGAGTGAACATCATATAAATACCTAGGTGTACATCTGGATAATAAGTTGGACTGGTCTAAGACTATAGACTTCATCTACAGAAAGGAGCAGAGCTACCTCTTTTGCCTGAGAAGACTCCGATCAATAGACATCAGTAGTAAGATGCTGCAGATGTTTTATCAGTTTGTGGTGGCAAGTGTTCTGTTCTACGCTGCAGACTGCTGGGGAGGAAGCATCAAACACAAAGATGCAAGACGTCAGAATAAACTGGTGAAAAAGGCTGGCTCTGTGGTTGAACTCAAGCTGGACTCACTGGAGGATGTGGTGGAGAGATCTACACTGAAGGTGAACGCTATTCTAAAGAACATGGATCACCCACTTCATAACACCTTGATGGAGCAAAGGGTCAATGGTGGTGGACGGATCCTCTCTCTTCGCTGCAGGACATAAAGATTCAGAAGATCTTTTGTACCAACAGCCATCAGACTTTGTAATTCTTGTGTAAATAGTAGATAACTTTTAGAGACATGTCAAGTGAGACAATAGACAACAGGGGATTAATAAAGTTCTTCTTATTCTAAAGGTCCTTTTACACTGGGACGGTGTTTTTTATGCTATTATTTCAGACGTCCATACTTTTTTCCAAACCCGTATCCTGTCAATACAAGCGTTCACATCAGCGACGTTTTCCTGTCCTGCGATATTACGGCATTTATTTTTTCGCATCACGGTTGATTTTTCTAAAGTTTCGCATACTGTTTGTCTACTTCTGACCAATCAGATTGCACATTATGCAATGTAAGATTCACCGGTATATCCAACATGGCCGACCGGCTGATTGTTTATGTGTCAGAGAACAGAGTTCCTATTTGATAAAAAACACACATATCAAAGATAACGACCTGAAGGACAACTTGTGGCGAGTCATAGTGTCAGATCTCTCATATGACAATGGTTTGTGTGCTTTAACAGTTTGCTAAACGTCTTTGTTTTAACTTTCATCTATGCTAAGTAACTTTATCTCTGTTCAGATACGACATACCATATCTCAAACTCAATTGCGTTGCTGTCATTGGGTCTCAGTTGTTACCTTACGTTTATATGTTATAGTTTAATGTGCTTATCTGGTACTGGCCCCAACTCAGTTCATGCTATCATGACAGACAGCCATCTCAACATTAGTGCCTAATCAGAACTGAAAAACAGTCAGTCTGGTGTTGTGTCAGTCTTCTCGCTTCCATCCAGAACGCGTCTTTTTTTCCCCCAGGAAAGTCGCAAAATAGCATCACGCTTGATGTGTATAGTCAGGCACGTCAAAATTTGCCTCCGAATATTTAGTAATTTTGCGTGGTATATTTGTGTCATTCCCAGTATGTAAGGACCTTTATTCTTATTCTTTATTCTTATTCTTATGTTTTAGTGCATTTCATGGAACTCTTTCATGATTCTGTTTCATGTTTTCTGAAATAGTTATGTATTGCCTTTATGAAATAAATATGCTGTTAACCTTCACAGTCACCTTTAATCACAGTAAAAAATTAACAGCTGCATTTGTAGGTCATGGTAACTATCCATTGAATGGTATGCTAACACCAGCCAGCAAAAAAAGCTGTACTCTGCTTCATCATCAGTTACTGTAAATGCTCATATATTAAATAGAATTAGACTCATTTTCCCAAAGACCTCTATGAAATCACATTGTTTTACAGCAACTCCTGATGGCCAATAGAAAAAAAGCAGGTTTTTGTATTATCTTCATTTTGTAGAGCCACTAATTCTTCCTTAACAAGCACACAACATCAATCAGTTTTTGTGGACATGGTTAAAGAGGTGTTTGTCTTCATGGCTGAAGTTGTATTTGAGGTTGATGTTGAAGGCTGATTAATTAAAGTCTTTCCCCATGAAAACTGTAAAGTAGCCTATTGAATTCAAAGCAGAGTTGTGTTGTTGGATTACATGAGATTTTATATGTTGTTTTATGAGATATCTGGTTTGTGACTGTTAGACTGAAGACTCAGATTGGGTAGTTTAGTGGCTTGAAGGATGACCGGTTTAAGTGTCAGGTACCCTTAAGCAAAGCGCTGAATCCCTCCTGAACATATAATCTGTAATCGGCCCCACATTTTGTATCGTGTTATCCTCTCCATTGCTGACCTGAGATTCTGCATCTACACCCCAGACTGTACTGATGACACTCAGTATCTATGGCATATCTCATCAGGCAGATACATAAGCTAAATGATCGCTAACCCTGGCATGAAATAAACATTTTCAAAACACAAAGTCATTATGCTGCTGTAGGAGAGCTGAAACAACAGGGCCTGATGGCTGTAATGGTTCCAACTAATTTCCCCTCCTGCTTCCTAAGTGTCTGAGGCAGATCCATAGAGCCCACAATGCATCATACTGAGGGAAGAAGGAAAGCAACAGCAGGTTAATTGCTGTGGGAGTTGAGTCTATTTAGACCCCCACCCCATTAATAAATTATAGTATAAACAGCAGTCTTGTCACAGAAGGACTTATTTGCTTCTAAATGTCACAAAAAGGTATTAGTTTGAATTTAAGTCTGTCTCATACAGTGTTGTTTTTGGCAGGCATTTTAGATTTAGTTTTCGTCTTAGTCATTTTGACGAAATGCTTCTTCGTTTTAGTCCCATTTTAGTCATTTCTATCCTTGATAGTTTTAGTCCGACGAAAACTCCAAAGGTTTTTAGTCTAGTTTTAGTCGACGAAAAGGTGCCTTTTGAGGTTTGTGGTGTTCTTTCCCAACAGTTTGAAGCCGTAGCATGAGGAAGCTGTGGCTCCACAACTGCTGTCTGTCTCGTCTCCCTGTCCCCGTACAAGACATTGTGTTTTATTGTCACTTGGACTGTATCTGAAGTAGGACCATAAATCATCCCTCTTTTTTTGGCCACCGGGCACCGCTGCTGTGTCTGCCGCCATGGTGTGTGTTTGTGCGCGCCTCGTCCACCTGCCGCTCTGTGTATGTGTATGAGTGTGTGAGCGCAGCTGTGCGCGAGCGATGCTTTTGGTGCGTGTGTGATGGGGGCGTGACTGTTAGGACAAAACAAAGCATGTTTTGAAACTTTGTTTGTCCACCTAATAACAATTTAGTCTTGTCTCGTTCTCGTCTGACGAAAATGAATACAATTTTCGTCACATTTTAGTCTTTACAGAGCTTTGGTGACGTTCGTCTTAGTCTCATTTTCGTCAAGGAAAAAAGGGGTCTGACGTCGTCATTTAAGTTTTCGTCCTGCCTGATGAAAACAACACTGGTCTAATAAATGTAGAAAAAAAACTCCTCACTGTAGCTTAAACTATTAACTGAAACACAACAGAGTAAAAAAATCTTAAAATGTTTCAGATTCAAAAGGAGAAGTTTGTTCAAAAACACAATATAAAGAAGCAGCAAAGGAAATAAGTGACATTAAAACAAAGACACGGGGCTCTATTTTCGTGCGCGCCGGTGAAGCGACTGAGGGTGGCGGACCCCGCGCAGTTGTATTTTCGTCTGGCGGAGCCCGGCGTATGGCCAGTTTGGTATTTTCGTGGACTGAGCCGCACGGAGGCGAGCCGAGATCCGCCAAGCTGGGCGTGGTGGCGTGGCAGGGGGAGGTGTCGACAGAATCAGCGGGCGCAGTGACATTTTCGTGCTCGCCACCGGCGTGTAAAGTTTGCTGAAAGCTCACCGATTCAAACCTGGTCAGCTTTCAGCGCATGGCGGAGCGCAGCTGGTCTAGTAGTATTTTGGTAGACCGGCGGCGTATCGACATATGTCACTGATGCCTCACCGGCAGGTTTCCACAGTGTCAGGCACATTTCAGAGCAATAAATAATCAACAACTATTAATCTGAGTCAGCACATACATTTAGATCTATAGATATATTCTGATCTATATCTGATCTGATGAGCGCGTTTGGCACGCGTTTGGACACACAACCTGACCGAATCAACACAGCTGAAACCGCATCAAATTAAATTAAATATCTAGTAAATAAACACACATGATGAAGTTAACAAGATATGTAATTCGTCTCCCTCCTTTTCTTTCTTCCTCTTCCTCTTATTTCTCGCACAGCTCGACCTGGACACGTCTCCTCTGTCCGTCTTGCTGCTGCTGCGGCTGAACAGATGATTTGTTTCAGTGCTCAGATGCGTTATCTACTTTAAGCCTGTATACGGATATTATAATATTCAGTTTTGTGGGCCAAATTTATTGTATATGCCGACATCTATGAAAGAAAGAGCCAGGCCACGGAGCGCGATGCATCATTTACGCACAGATGGTTCCAATTTTAATGCCATTTTTGGAGTTTATGTTGTGATCTGTGCGCTCAACCCACCTTTGTCACGTGAGGTTTGAATATATGCAACTTTATGTGAGTGTCTTTATTTGTGGAAAAGGGTGTTTGTCTTACCAGTGGGTCCAACATTACACACACCAAATCCATCTGTGCTTATATGAGAGGACGCCCAATGCAGCGCTTACAGTGACACTTGTTGAGGAGCTGCCCTCTGTCGCCATCTTGTGGCATTACTGTCTTAAGACATCTCTTGATCTCTTTGACTACTTCATGAAAATAGTAATACGACTCGCCGGTGGCGTATTTAAAGGCAAGGAGAGGAGCTTATGTGATTGGTGAAAACAGGTCTCGGCTGTGTTAAACCCACTCTCCGCCCTATCTCCTCCCTCGCTACGACTTAAGCTGCTGAGAGGAGCTGAGTTAGGGAGGGGGGATACTTACGCAGGGCTGTGCGGCTCACCAAAATACCAAATTGTGCTTGGGGACGCCTTGTCAGCGCAGCGGATCTGACTGACGCCGCGCTTGCGGCACGTCTCCGGCGAGGCACGAAAATAGAGCCCATGCTGTCAGCCTTTTGTATCACAGCCCAAAAACCTGGTATCAGTATACAAAAAGTTTATCATAGTTTGGGACTCTGGGGTGGCCAATCAGATATCAAGAGGGGCCATGGACAACCCATGGATTCACCCCTGATGCAAATCTGCGAACTCCAACTTTGAAACTAAATCTAATGTGAAGTCTTTTCGTGCAACGTGGTGCCAAAAGTACATTGATACTTTCAATTTTCATATTGTTCTTTGTCAGTAGGTGGGGTTACATAGAGTGTCTGTTGTGTTGATCAGGAGCTTTCAGATTTGTCTTGTTTTTAATTAAACATATATGTCCAAGAACTCTTGTTTCTTACTCCAACCAGTTTCACACCATGATGCACAAGAGATTAGCAGCAAGCATGCAAAACTTCTGCCAACAGAATACAGTTTGAGTATTAGTATACTTGGCTGTTTGAAGGGGAAATGCAACACTCCCTGTTTACCATCATAAACCCAATCAGATTGGCACCCTTTTTCCTGCTTGACAGTTAATGGGGGTACTTATTCTGTTTTTCCCACTCTAACCTGATCAGAAGTAAAAACCGTGTAACTAACCGTCTGTGTTAGCTGTACAGGTAGGGATGTGTCCAGACTCGGCACCAGCATAGGCTTAATGCGGAGGAGTTGGAACAGGCAAGGTTTTCAACTATACAACTACAGAAGTATCAAACTGTGATTGTATTTTTGGACTTAAACATAGACCAATTTGTTTTTCATGAATCTTGACTCAGACAAGGCGAACTGCCAAAAACAGAATTTTGTGTTGGCACCTGGGGTAACCAAACTGATATCAAAGGGGGGCAGTGCCACCCCTGGCTAACCCTCTTGATATGCCCCTGTGTACATGCATGATTTAGTGTAGTATCCATTTTATTATGTAACATTATGTAGTAATAAATAGAATTACCCCAGAACAAAATGAGAGAACATTCCCAGCACACATTACTCTGTGTAAGAAGGAACCCTTTCAATGATCAATATATTCAAAAATGTTTAAAATCCACAAGTAAACCTTAAATCGAGAAAAAGTCCAAATCTATCAATTGTGCTGTGTTTAAGTTTTCCTAATTGCATTTTAGTGCATAGTCACGTAGCTGTCTGGGGTGATTGATGCTACAGCTGATATTAAACACGAAGTCCATTCTCTGAAACACATGGGGGTGTTTACAGCTTTCTGCAGAGGTCCTTTGAAGAGCATTTGTATCTTGTAACATGTTTTAAATTACACTGCAGCTCCGAGCCCCTCAGCCCGCTGCTGCAGCAACACTAATACAGAGTGTAACTCTGTAAGAAAAGATTGCGTTTGTCAGCTTTTAGAGAGCGATGCAGCCCTGCATTATTCGCTTCTCCGGGGGAACAGTGTAAGTCATCAATAGAGTCCTGGCAGGTCATTACAGTGTTCAGTGTGAGGGTGCTGCAGCCAAGCTCTTTCCCAAAATTTTGCTACTTAAGAAGCTGCTTGTACTAAAATGAGAATTTGGGTTTGAGATATGAGATTGATCTGCAATACATTTAAGATTGACTTAATGTTTGATTTCTGAATTGATATTTTGTTTCTTTTTATTTTCCCACGATTGAAGGTAGGTGGTGCCCCTATCAACGAGTGCATAAATGTCATGTTCTAAGATCATTATCAAATATTAATCTTCAGAATTTATTATAAATTTAAATCGCTACACTTTTTTCTGTTAGATTGACTGGCAGATAAACAGCCCTCCTTTGTCACACTGTTGTTGATTTGTGATTTATTCGACAATATTCCTGGTTTTAAGAGGTCGTCAGTGACATATGAGTCTAAATAAACTCCAAACTTCAAACAGCCTGATCTCATGCCCACCTACACACAGGACCCGGAGCCAGAAACCTCAGCAGCTGGCAGCAAGGACAAACCTCATCAACCCACACACATCACAGTTCTTCATTATTTATCATGCTCCAGTTTACAAAAACTTTCTTCTGGCGGTCCTTTTTACCAACCATAGTATTCATTTTCTTAATTTTGACGTATTACTCGGGTTGTTTTCATTTACTTGTCATACTACAACCCTTACCCTCATCATCAAAAAGTCCTAAGAACTAAGTGACAGTGAGCAAATTTAGAGGTGAGGCAGAGGACAGTGATGCAGTAGAAGATTAACAAGGGCTGCCTTTATTGGTGGAAAGTGTTAAACAAATTTCAGCTAAAGTTTGAATCCATTTCATTTCACCATTATTATGAAACTTTGTGTTGGAAATGCTGAAGGATGCCCTGAGACAGAGAATGAAAATGAATTTCTCTTCTACTTGTAAACCAAATGGTCAGTGTTCAAAAATCTTGTATTGCATCTTACTTCTATTTTGTGTAATATTGTGTCCTGAAAGCAATCGGTCAAAGATTTTGATAGTATCTGTAGCCTAAACCAACAATAAAAAAGTCAAACACGAAAAATTGTGCGTGACTTTTTTGAAGAATCAGATGATTCATTGTATGAAGAAAAGTTTAACCTTTTCCCCTGATTTTAGGTCAAAGCGGGAACAGTTTTATGTGTTAATTTTGTAAATCCCTCTCACTACTTGATTTACTTATTAGCTGTTAAAAGCACTCAGTCTTTCTGCAGCACTCACATCATATCAGTACATACTGTGTTTTTACCAACCTGCTGAAACTGTGCAATAACCACATTGCAATAATCAAACTGTATATTTTATGTATATACTGTTATTTTTTTTTTAACCTTTGATATTGTTCCATTCAAGCTTTGTAAGTACATTGTTGTACTCCACTGTCCCTTGTGTTTAAGCAGCTGTAACATGAGAATTTCCTCCAGAGGGGATCAATAAAGTTGATCTTATCTATCCACTGGATCCTCTAAATCGAGCAGCATTTAATGGGGGATTGGACTTGAATTTAACAAACCTAACTTGTATTGTCACGATACTTGGGTCATGATATAGTATTATTGCGACTTTAAACATTTTGCAATACAATGAGTATTGTGATACAATATATAGCAGTTTATACAACTTTTTCAACTGTTAAGCTAATTTAGCATTTGTCTTTCCTTTTTTTTTGTCTTATTTACACAGTATTTTGTTTTCATGCAGCACCTCTTGCAAACCTTATGTGTCAGGTCCATCTTATTTGTGCCCTGCTTGCATTCCTAATGTATTTCCCCAGGTGCTATATTTGTTGCACTAACTTTCTCCTGCTCTATGATGTTACCTCTGCCAACCTCACTGAACAAACAGTTGATTTTATTTTTCCATTATCATAGATTTAAGAATAAGAAGAACTTATTTAATTCCAGAAGGGAAATTCATTGGTATGTTGTCTCATTTGTCATGTGTCTAAAAGTTATCCACTATTTACACAAGAGTTGTACAGTCTGATGGCTGTGGGTACAAAAGATATTCTGAATCTTCCTGTCCTGCAAAGAAGGGAGAGGAGCCGTCCACCACCATTGGCCCTTTGGTCCATCAAGGTGTTGTGAAAAGGGTGATCCATGTTCTTGAGAATAGCCTCCACCTTCCTCAGTGTAGATCTCTCCACCACATCCTCCACTGAGTCCAGCTTGGATGCAACCACAGAGCCAGCCTTTTTCACCAATTTGCCTGAGACGTCTTCCATCTTTGATCAGATTCGTCTCAGGCAAAAGAGGTGGCTCTGCCCCTTTCTGTAGATGAAGTCTATAGTCTTAGACCAGTCCAACTTATTATCCAGATGTACACCTAGGAATTTATATGAGGTCACCACCTCAATGTCCACTCCACAGGGGTTTGGATCTATGGAAGTCTATGACCATCTCTTTTTGTCTTTGAGGTGTTGAGGAGAAGAAAGTTTTTGTGACTCCAGTCACTGAAGGCTCTTATCAGATCTCTGTATTCAGCTTCTTGTCCATTTCTGATACATGCCACAATAGCAGTGTTATCTGAGTATTTCTGGATGTGGCAGGACTCAGTGCTGTATTTGAAGTCTGACTTATACAGTGTGAACAGGAATGGCACCAGCACTGTCCCTTGTGGAGTCCCTGTACTGCTCATTAATGTCCCAGAAACACAGTTCCCCAGCCTGATTAACTGTGGCCTTCCTGTCAGGTAATCTGTGATCCAGGAAACACAGACAGGATCCACTCCCATCCTGTAAGCTTGTCTTTGAGTATGGTGGGTTGGATGGTGTTGAATGGATTTGAAAAGTCAAAGAATATGATCCTCACATAAACCCCAGGTTCCTCCAGATGAGACGGGCATGGCGAAGCATGTAGAGGACAGCATCATCTGCAGGGAATCCAGTTTGTCTTTGACCTCAGACCTCAGAAGGCGTAGAATCAGCCACTCCAGGGTTTTCATGATGTGTGAAGTGAGGGCCACTGGTCTGTAGTCATTGAGTTCAGCAGGACATTTTGTTTTTTGGTACTGGCACAATGCAGGATGTTTTCCACAGAGTAGGTACCTGCCCCAGCTGTGGACTCAGGTTGAAGATCCTGTGGAGAGGTTGACACAGTTCTGCAGCACAGTCTGTAAGCAGCCTTGGACACACACCATCTGGACCAGCCGCCTTCCCAGGACAAAGTTTTCCAAGCTCCATCCTCACCCCTGTTTCTGTGACAGACAGGGACTGGTGTTCTAGGAGGGAGGCAGCTGAAGTGGTTGAGACATTTGAACGAGATGGAGGAGGAACAGGAGAAGTTGTACTGGAGATTTGTTGCGGAGAGGAAGGTGGAGTAGCAGTTTCCAGCAGCACATTCCAGTCTGTTGATTTAAAACAGTCCCTTAGAGCTTCACTGGCTTAAGGGGTCCATCTGCTGATTTTGACTTTGGTCACAGGCTGCCTCGGTACACAAGGTCTGTAACAGGTTTGCAGATAGACTAAGTCATGATCTGACTTGCCCAGTGGTGGTAAGGCAGTGGCTCTGTAGGCTTCTTTGACGTTGGCATACAGCAGATCCAGGGTTTTGTTTTCTCTGGTAGGATAGTTCACAAGCTGTGTGAATCCAGTCAGGTGAGAGGAGAGGTTGGTTGAAGGTTGAAGTCTCCTGATATTATTATTAGTGCCTCCAGGTGTTGAGTCTGTATCCTGGCAACACTTTTATGCTAAACATGCATGGAATTTCTTCAGTTGATTTGGGTGGAATGTAAACAACTATTGTTATGATATGACTGAATTCTCTTGGAACATAATATGGCTGAAGAGCAACTGCCAACAGTTCAATATCTGGACAGCACAAGTTCTCCTTGACAGTTACGTGTGAAGGGTACACCATCTTGACAAATAAAGCCAGACCATCTCCCTGACCTTATGAGAGTGAAGCCAGGTAGATCCACACTGGAGTCCGAGTTGTTTTGATTTAGCCAGGTTTCAGTAAAACACGGGAGACTGCACTTACGGTATGCTTTCTCAGTCTTCACCAATAACTCCCATGATTTCCCATGATGATTGATGGAAGAAATGGTTTATATCACCACCTCCTAGTATTTTGACTTCATATTAACAATTGATGAAAAAAATCAGTACTTTGCCAATGAGACGATACAATATATCACCAGACAAAATATTGCAATACTATGCTGTACCAATTTTTTCTCCCACCCCTACTAACTTCTGTGTTGATCTCAAAGAACAGATTAATAGTTCTCTTTTGTACTAGAAACAGGATTGCAAATAAGCCTTTTCTCAATTTTCAAGGTCAGCCAGTTTCTAGTGAAACTTCTCATCTGTTTGAATTTATCACATACTGTACGAGCCTATGAATTCTGTAGACATCCTCATTACTGTTCACAGTTTATTTCTGGCTAGACATCGGAGACCTGACAGAGATGTCTGTAAAATCAAATAATATCCTCGCATCAATGCTGCGCAGTTTAATATTCTCTCAAATCTCATGACTTGAAACTTTATTAACACTGCAGTTATTAAGCTGCCTGGAAGAAAACAGTCTCCCAGTAATGCTGCGATCCACTTTGCTGCATGATGTTCATGAATAAAAAACTCTTGCAACCAAATCAGCAAACTCTAAAATGCACCAGTCTCTTTTTCTGTGAAAACCCATGTGAACCAAAGAACAAACATTATAAAACAAGAAAAATGAAAACAAAGTTTGAGATGATTTCATCACTCTCCTTTTTTATTGTTTCAGTTATTCAGTGGACACAGGTAAGAATGACTTCCTGTGACACTCTAGTTCACATACTTAGTCTATTAATTCCTGACATGAAACATACTCATATTTTGCATGCACAAAAACAAAGGTTGAACAGATTGCTACAGAGAAAATGGTAAGTCTTGTCCTTTAGCATACAACCTTGGGTTTGTGTCCATCTTGGGGCCCCCTGGGGGCAGGGGGCGCCAAAATGGACATAGATAAATAAATAAATTAACTAAATAAAATTAACAAAATGTCAAATATCTGGAGCTAAAAGTCTAAACTGGAGCTTTAAAGTAGTTGTAATCAGCAGTGTTGAATATGCAGCAGTGTGATGCATCATACAGATTGATACAGCTTAATTACTCTGAAAACATAATATATGATAGTGAAACACTATGTTTCATACTTGTTCATGCACATTGTTAAATGAGACAAAAAGCGTCACAAACACAACTAAGGGTTTAATAACTAATAGCCAATCAGAATCAATAATAATGAACTAATCCAACCTCTATATTTTATTTCAGAGCACCACCCTGCCTTTAGCTTCCCTCAAGCCCTTCGCTTTATCTTCATGTCATAATGGCCACCAGTCCAACTGACGCCGCAGCTGCCCAACCATCAAGCAACATGGAGGAGTCCCAGCAGCCAATCAACATGCAGCAGAATGGAGATGCTGTCACTTCCCAACCAGTCAGTGCGGAGCAACAAACCCCGTCCCTGACAATCAATGCTCCTGATGGCAGTCAAACTGCTGAAATGGACCATCTTACAGTGATCAATGACAACACGGAGACCAGTAAATAGACCAGTTCTGAACATATGCATGACACTCCATGGACACTATCCATCACTCCATTTTGTACTTTTACTTCACTGGGGTTGTTCCACTATCTTGCAATATTTCAACCTGTAGTCCACTGCCTTTTAGAGTCAATTTTTGCACTTTTTACTTCACAACTTTTACCTGAAAACTAACATTGGTTAATTCATCACCAGCCTGTAAATGTAATACTCTTGTCAGATTAAGTCACAGTAAAGACATGAAATTAATGCTGCTCTTTCATACCATATTGAGGCATATTGTTAGTGTAAACATGTAAGACTTTAAGGATACCAAAGGTTTGATAACGATTTTAATAATAAAATGTGGCTGCCAAAAACAGAACAGCTGCCTTTGTGTCTTCCCACAATTTCATCAAATCTGATGTCAACCCCAGCTATATGTGAATCTCAGCTTTGAATTTCTCACTAAAGTCCACCTTCTCCTCCAGGTAACGGCATCGGTCCTGTGAGGGTTGATTCATCTCCCACAGTGTCCTCTGTGTCGCCCAAACTGCATGCTAAGCCTGGTGGACATGCCAATGGAAGGCCTGGTTTGGGCAGCCGGTCCGGCTCGGTGGCGATGGGTTCACCTAGGCCCTCCCTCACCCGCCAGCCCAGTGCAATCACAGAGGCCACTGTGGACGGGTCTAAGCCAAGGGACTACCTGCTCTTGGCCATCCTGTCCTGCTTCTGCCCACTGTGGCCCATCAACATCGTAGCCCTCACCTTTTCAGTGATGGTATGACTTTAAACTTTTCATCTCATAATAATAATAATATAATAATGCATCAGATTTCATATAGCGCTTTATCAGAGAGCCTCAAAGCGCTTACATTGGATACATCATTCATTCGCTCACACAGTCACAATTTGGTGGTGGTTAACTACCTTTGTAGTCACAGCTGCCCTGGGGCAGACTGACGGAAACATGGCTGCCATTTTGCACCTACGGCCTTTCCGACCACCACCATACAACACTCACAGTCATACACCAGTGGAGGACACACACTGGGAGCAAGGTGGGTTAAGTGTCTTGCCCAAGGACACAACAGATAGACTTGGGATAGGGGGGAATCGAACCGCCAACCTTCCAGTTATTGGACGACTGCTCTACCTCCTGAGCTACTGCCACCCTCATCTCATACACTATTGCTACTAGAAATACAGACAGAAATGAGCAAAACCACACATTTCAACTCACAAAGTTTATTTGGAGTTAAAGCATTTATTAGCCAAAAACAAAAGGAAGCTGAGTTTGGATCATGATACCAACTTAGTCTTTTATGCTGTTTTTTAACCCTGTTCAGTCTCGAAACAGTCTTCAGCAGGGAAATGTTGATGGGGCTCGACGTCTGGGCCGAAATGCTATGGTTCTGTCCATTGTCTCCATCTTAGGAGGGATTGCAATCATTACTGCCGCCATCGTCTTCAACTGGGGCTGTAAGTAACATGCAACCAATCTACAGTTTTAGCCAGTATAACTTCTGCACCTTTAAAGCCTTACAAATCAGAGTTTCTGTAAAAGGAAAAGTTTCACCTTCCGAAAAAAAGTTAGGTAAAAAAGTTTAAGGAGTGACACAGAAAACAGGTGAGTGTTTATGGTATGGAGCTGTGACGCAACAGCTGCTCAATCTGATAAATGAGTTCTTTTTGACTGTATTGTTGCTGGCCAGTGGTTCAAACATCATAGTAGGCAATTGTGTTTGGCTGCTTATTCAACAAACTTAAGGCTGTGATATTGAAAAACAATTAGCGATTTTTTTTTTGTGGCAATAAACAGTTTCTGGTTAAGAGTAAAATAGTCTTTGCAACTCCAGAAATCTGAGTCCTCCTTATAGTTATTTCAAAAATGTAAGCAGGTACACGGTCATAGCCCATCGTCAACATCATCTTGAAAAAACAGAAACTGTTGTGTACCTGGAAACAGATACTCAAAGTACCTTAGCAATATTGAGATGTGCCTTCAAACTACTATTGGAGGATGCCTTGAAACAGACACTTCAGGATACCAAGTATAAGGTACTAAAAGTACCTGGATACAGATGTTAGTGGTATCGTTTGTGCAAAGGGTTGCCAGAAACAGATGCTAAAGTGGTTCAGGATAAGACTGAAAAGTTAACTCAATATACTTAGAATATACATGAGATTGCAGATTGCTTCCAGATACTGAGGGTACCTGGGAACAGATGCAAGTCTTGAAAGTGATGCAAAGGGTTACTGAAAAATAGACCCCATGGCAAGTGAAAAAGGCAATAACTACCTGGATGACTACCTATCTGTTAGTTAGTATTTTCCTAGAAAAGTACACTTATCGGAGTATTTGAGTCCAAAAAGCTGAATTTCTGTGTCATTTTATTTCTGTCTACAGTGATATTAAAATCCTGATTGAAATAGGCCTGAATGGTGAGACCTATTTCCATGCCAACATCTGACTGACACGACACCCCTTCCTCCAATTGCTGAAGCACTATCCTTCTCAAGCGCCTGCACCAGATGAAAAAAAATGTACTTGTATTCTGCTGTTGTTTTTGCTGCACGATGAGCATGGTCTGCCTGATGCTCTACCTCCAACACGACCCAACAAGCAACCCATACCTGAACCCAGGCCTGATCTGGAAATGGATCAAGAAAAGAGGATGGATCCTGAGATGCTCATTTCATTCTGTGGAGCTGCTTTTCTCCTCCTCAGACTATTTTCTCTCATCAATACACAAATAGGTGTGCTGTCATGGGAATTGACATCTGTCTCTATGGAAACTGGATAATTCTGACCTCTTGATGACGCCGCAAGCCCAGCGATGAGCAAACTGTGGGGTGTTTTTTTTTTTGTTGTTGTTTTTTTTTTGGACTTTTTGATGCCAAAAAATTAAAAACCTTCGCTGAACTGATGCTGAAGGTTGTTGCTGCAGCTGTGATTGCTCATCGTGAACAAAAGAGGAAACTTTCAGTCTCTTAAGACTGTAAGAGATGGATACAGAAATAGAATGGAGCCATTTTGGGGAGAGTGGTGGATTGTTTCATCCTTCATTTGTTCCTTTGGTATTTGTGGAGCACACTCTCACACACATATGTATAAATTACTTCGAGTATGCTTCTTTTTGTCTAAACTCACTCTGTGTATCCCTGTTCACCCTTACTGATACAGTACAGTGGATGACTATCAAAGGCAGATCACATATTAAAGAAATGACAAAGGATAAACCTGAGATATTCCACAGATTACTTTATTCAACAAATGCCTCTTTGCAGAAAACATAAACCAAAACATAAACATATTAGCTGATTAATTAAATATTTTGGGCTTCCTCTTTGGGGCTCCAACACTGTACCAAACCATATCCTGGACAAATTCAGAGGCATTAAATACTTTATATCAAACATATGAGCTTGAAGCTATGTACAGAGGTGGGAACTTCCAAACCTAGATTCACAATAATTAGTAAATTATAGTTTGTCACATTCCTGCATATTTTTCCAAACCTTCTGGTTGGGGGTGGCATGCACTACATAACAGATAGAAACATTACAACCCTCTCCATCCTGTTGGGGTCCTAGTCTCTATAGAAACACAAATCTGATCTTTTGTCAAAACAACATTGCACCCCTTTACTTGTTTTTCAGAAAGGTTTCAGACTAACACATCCTTTACCCTGGTGCTGATTTCAGCAATAAGAAGAGTTAACCTTTGTTTTGCTGAATGAAACTGGTTTGCTGAAATAATAAGTCAATTTATAAAAATCCCAAATTAACATGTTCTTATTCCAGCTGCATTCATACCCAAAGGGACTAAAGCAAGGTAACAAGCAAATATCACATCCACCTCTTGATCCCATTACAAAATGAACATGCCATCAGACCTGTTAGACTCAAGGCATGGTGTTGGTTTCCAGGGTCATGTGAAGCAGCAAAATAGGGCCAATGTGTAATGCCTGGTTCACACAGGAAGTGCCGCGCGCGGAACGGAAGCACCGTGCGCGCGCGCAGCGCCGGCTCGCGCTTGGCTGTTCACACAGAAAGCGTTTTCTGCTGCGCTCTGACAGGCTGGTCAGACATCGACTGAGCCCGGCAGTGCTTGGCCGTTTCAGTCTGCCCTCAGTTTTCCACACTTACGAGCGTTTTAAAAATGGGTAAATCAATATTTATTTACGTTTTTATTTCGTCATACATAAATTAAATATTGGCAGCATCAAGTATTGTTTTAAATTATTATATAGGGGTAAACGACGAATAAATTGGGGATTCTGTGTATAGCCTTGTTAGCTCGAGGCTACTGACTGTATCGTAATAAAGTCCCCCTCCTTTGTCTCAATAAAATCACTGAATCTCTGCAGCTCTCCCTTCGTGTGTGTGTGTGTGTTTGTGTGTGTGTGTGTGTGTGTGTGTGTGTGTGTGTGTGTGTGTGTGTGTGTGTGTGTGTGTTCATTGGTAAAAAAATAGACCGACAAGCAACACCGTAAATCCTTTTCTAATTTATTGAAATTTACTTTATTTTGAAAATTGACCGAATTCTCTCGCATCTCCTTCCTGACTTCCTGTCTGGTCCGATCTGCTCTGTTGAACTTTACATTGGCGCGCGCGGCTCGCGCCAAAAATAGAGAGAAGCGGAGCAGCCGCGCTCCAGAGCGCGAGTTGTTCCGCGCGCGAGCTGTGTGAACAGTCTCATAGGTTAACATGGGCACCGATCTGAAACTCTGTGCACGGCGCTTCCGTTCCGCGCGCGGCGCTTCCAGTGTGAACCAGGCGTAAGTACAAAAAAAACTGCCTTTCTATAAGTGTCCGCTGGGGGCTGACTCCAAAAACCAAGGAAACTCCATTAGAACCCATTTTAAAATGCTAATTTAAGAAGAGGACTTTGACACATTTATAAACTGGTACACTATACCTCAGTTTATTTGTCTAATTAGTGTGTATGGCTGAATATTGTTAAGTCTCAGCATTGTAAACTATTTAGAAGTCATGTGTATTTAAGTGTAATTACAGGTGTATTTGATTTAAATGACAGTTGAATTTGTTGTAGCTATGGCCTCAACTCCTCCTTCATTTCTGGTTTTACCTAAATTTAGTTAGAGTGGTCAACAGCACTTCAGAACCAATGAGTGACATCCTTAAGACTAAGGGGTCTATTTTCGTGTCCGCCGGTGAGGTGGCGGAGGGTGGCGGACCCCGCGCAGTTGTATTTTCGTCTGGCGGAGCCCGGCGTACAGCCAGTTTGGTATTTTCGTGAACTGAGGCGCACCGAGATCCGCCAAGCTGGGCGTGGTGGCATGGCAGGGGGAGGTGTGGACAGAATCAGCGGGTGCAGTGACATTTTCGTGCTCGCCACCGGCGTATAAAGTGCGCTGAAAGCTCGCCGATTCAAACCTGGTCAGCTTTCAGTGCAGGCGGAGTGCAGCTGGTCTAGTGGTATTTTGGTAGACCAGCGGCGTATCGGCATACGTCACTGATGCCTCACTGGCAGGTTTCCACAGTGTCAGGCACAATTCAGTGCAATAAATAATCATCAACAACTAATATTCTGAGTCAGCACAAGCATTTAGATCTATATAGATATATTCTGATCTATATCTGATCTGATGAGCGTGTTTGGCACGCGTTTGGACACACAACCTGACCAAATCAACACAGCTGAAACCGTATTAAATTAAATTAAATTTCTAGTAAATAGACACACATGATGAAGTGAACAAGATATTTAATTTGTCTCCGTCCTTTTCTTTCTTCCTCTTCCTCTTATTTCTCGTGCAGCTCGACCTGGACGTGTCTCCATGTCCTCTCCCCGTCCTGCTGCAGCTGCTGCTGCGGTGGCTGAACAGATGATTTGTTTCAGTGATCAGATGAGTTATCTACTTTAAACCTACACGAATATTATAATATTCAGTTTTTAAGACCAAATTTATTTTACATGCCAACATCTATGAAAGAAAGAGCCAGGCTACAGAGCGTGATGCATCATTTACGCACAGATGGCTCCGATTTTATTGCCATTTTTGGAATTTATAATGTGATCTCTGCGCACAACCCACCTTTGTCACTTGAGGTTTGGATATGTGCAACTTTATGTGAGTGTCTTTATTTGTGGAAAGGGTGTTTGTCTTACTAGTGGGTCCAAACTTACAAACACTAAATCCATCTGTGCTCATATGAGAGAGTGAGGAGGATGTTCTCTGCAGCGTTTACAGCGACATTTGTTGAGGAGCTGCCTTCTGTCGCCATCGTGTGGCATTACTGTCTTCAGACATCTCTTGATCTCTTTGACTACTTCACGAAAATAGTAATACGCCTCGCCGGTGGCGGATTTAAAGGCGAGGAGAGGAGCTGATGTTATTGGTCAATACAGGTCTCGGCTGTGTTAAACCCACTCCACGCCCTCTCTCCTCCCTCCCTACGATTTACGCCACTGGGAGGAGCTGAGTTAGGGAGGGGGGATACTTACGCCAGGCTGCGCCGCTCACCAAAATACCAAATTGTGCTTGGGAGCGCCTTGTTGGCACGGCGGACCTGACTTACGCCGCGCATGCGCCGCGTTGCCGGGGAGGCACGAAAATAGAGCCCCAGATCTACATTTTATACAGTCTATGGGCTGACTTAGAATATCTTCAATTAAACATAATTTCTTGTATCCTTTACAATATCCTATGTCACAATTCTTTGGCTGGAATATTCAGATTAAGACAACTTTATTTATCCCCTAAGGGCAATTCTGTTCGCAGTTACCCTGCCGTTTGATCCATACAAACACACAAACCAGCAGAAAAACAAATAAATGAATATAAAATAATTAAGTCTATTAGTGGAGTTAAGCACAGACAATAGACAAATGGGTTTTTTGTCATTTGGAACATTTGCGATTTGTATACTCAATGCAGCACTCCATCATCTTAAATCTATTTTATCCTCATCTATAAACCAGTAATTCTATTCTAATCTAATTCACTCTGGTCTCCTCAGCTGCAGCATTTAGCCAGTGAGTGTTCGTGGGAAAGTGAGGTTGTGGGACATACTGTTGAGACAAGCCTCTGTCGGTCAAATAGGTGACCTTAAAACTTCTTTGGCGTTGGTCCAGAGCTTGTGGGACGTTGTGTTTGTTAGTGCTGTTTGAAGAGAACCATTACAGCTTGTTCTACTGTTTAGTTTAAGTTCTAATGTCCACAGTCTAGTCCTATTGGTGATTATTTCCTCCCCCTGCTCTTGACATATATTAAGTTTAGAGCTAAATATGTACTTGGGCTCTCTGAGGGAAAGCTGGAGTAGTGTGTGTGACCAGAGGCTTGAAGTGCTCAGCTGTGGTTGTTGGGATTCCTATAAGTGCATCTCTTTGCCTGTAACTGATTCCAGATGAGTCCCACTGATTCAGACCTACTTAATTATTCTGACTGACCACAGTATGTGCAGGATTTTCTGCTTAATGGATATGGAGTGATCGGCAGTCAGATGCTGCCCCCTGTGATTGCCAGGCCCTCTATTAATTTAGGTGATTATGGTTAGGTTTCGACCACAGACTGGCACTCACTCTGACTGTTCCTGTGCACAAGAATGGACTTTGACAATGAACAGATCAGTAATGTGCCTTGGACTCTTGTCTAGCTTTTCATTTTAGGCTTTAAAACATTTCTTGCATAAGTCTGATCACTTAATGTTTAGAAAACAATCATTTCTTTTCCGGTGATGAGGTGATTCCTCATCATTATAAAATGCTCACCTGGACCTGGACCTGAACTAATCTGTAACTTGGAATAAAGACAAACACTATTTTGCTCTATTTCTTAGTCTGGAAATAACTTTAATGCCATATCATGCAAAAATACAAGCGTGCAGTAATTTTTTGCAAGTAACTGGTTCATAGTGGAGGTCATTTGGTTCTTAACACTGGTTGCCACCACAGACTGTCTAATAAATACACATAACATTGGTGACCGTCACCTACTTGTTTGTGATGCCAAGTTTTGAAGCATATTGGTGGCGGTTACCATGTTGGTTATGCTTACTCAACCCAACTTCCAGTCAACCTACCACACAAATAGCCCACCTGTGAGTCAAATCAGCTCTGACTCTGAAACAAACCAAAACTTTATTCTGAACCAGGCTGTTAACATGTTTATTTCTTCTCTAAAAAATGTTTTCATGGCTTAATGTGTATGTGATTCACTGTAGTCAACCTCCAGTGGATTCTGGAGGTTGCTGCTTAGTTGCCACCCGGCATAAAATAAAATGGAAGACAAATAAGAAGCAGCAGCTTCTAGCATGCTTGCTTTAGTAGCACTTCAAAAGATGGGCGAATACTTTTAACATTAATATTTTCTAGCAGTCCTTGTAGCTGTTTACAAACATTGATAATTTACCATCAATGGGTAAATATAGTGCACAATTAAATATGATAAAGGGGACAGTGGAAATGTGAAAATAAAAGCCTCACAATACTTTTATGAGGCAGTTCCTTCCTGAAAGAAGTTTCTGTCTCAAGATAAGATCCATGGATGAAAACATAACTTTGTTCAAACTCAGAAATGGATGATATCATGTATGCCCTAATTTATGAAGTTTCTCCTTTTATCATGCCTTTGCTTTTTCTTTTGACTGAAAATGTTTGGGTTAACCAGGATATTTTCTAAACCTGCTTAAATTGTGATGTGCAGTTGAAATGGAGCTTCAGTTTTGGCAGCATCAGTATTGAAGGAATTCATCAGTCTTGAGCTAATATAAAGGTCTGTTTCGATAGTTCAATTTTATATTACTTCATCCACAGTAAACAATGACTGAAGCATGGCAGAATTTGGAGGATCCTTTGGCATTTGGTGGTTGAAAACAATGTTTTTTGTTCTTAAAGGGACTATGTTTTTAACAGATCCTAGGGCATTTTGTGATATAAAACAAAGGCTTAAAAATTCTCTGAAACAAGCTCAGTTCGATTGGTGCAGCATATGCTGTAGTTATTAGGATTTACCTACTCCTTAAGGATCATAAATAATCATTTAAACAGCAGTAAATAAAGTCCTCACACCCCTATCTTCTTGGCTTTGTCTGAGCTCTGGGACCCTCAGTGTGATGCTGTGCCAAACCCCTGAGTGTGTGCCAACCTGCACAGGAAGCACCCTCTAATTTCTGTTAACCTGTCTTATATGTGTGTGTGTGAGCACATACTCCAGGTAGATTAACAATGTTAGGGGAACTCTGAGGAAATAAGCTGATATTATGGAACAATTTCAGCCCTTCATTTACTCTGACCTGTGCATGTTTACAGTATTTATTACAGGATGCTTTTACATGACTGTAGCCTCATCTAGCAAGAAAGCTAACTGAGTAGCACTTTGTATATAAGTAATTTGGGACATCGTAATAGCTAGACCCAGATAAGATATTCCCCTTTTTGCAAAGCCTGACCTACAATTTCCAAGAACTGTTTTATTTTTTTTTATTATTTATTTTAAAAAAAGAGGCTGTTAAAAGGAAGCAAAGCTTAATGTTTAGACACACTTGAACTTGAACTTAGTCAGTTGGTCTTTTTCACAGAGAGCAAAGGTCAGGTGAGGTCAGGCTTAGAGGTGGAAGGTGGGGGCCGGGCAGAGGGTCCTGCTCACACCTTACTAACACCCACTCCTGTACTGTATGTAGCATGCCTATTCACTATTCACATTATGCAAAGGAAAAAAAGGTCTCAGCTTGATGTCAGTATGAATGCTAGCTTCCTTGAACTTTGCTCTGGTTGTGTACTTGTACAAGGTTTTGTATGAAACTTGCTTGTGCTACCTCTCAAAGTTGCCTACAGTGTTTTATCAACAGCACCTCACATTGTTTCACTTTGATGATTTTAACTGACTGTTAAATTTTGTGCTTATGTTTGTTTCTATTGTGGCGATTTTAACTACTTGCATTGTTATTGTTTATACTAATTTGCAGGAATTAATATGAACACAGTCCAACATCTATACAGTTAATCATCTTTAACACAACTGGCAAAACTTCTGTAAATAAAATAACTCCTACGGTACCAACGTATATACTTGTACTTAAAGCAGAAAACTGCCGAGAAAAAGTTGTCTTACACAGAGAAATCTAAGTTCTGAGGAAGATTTTTGGCATCGGTTAGCAAACATTCAGACAGATCCTTGTGTCTGTTGCTTAATGAAATAAGGAATGTAGACCAAAGTGCAAAATACGTCTGACAGGTCCATTTAAAACTCAAACTAACGTTCCAAAAAAAGAAAACATGTTTTAAAAGTCTGTAGATCTGTGTCTTTAGATTATCACAATACATGTAAGCTTGCCTCTCAGAAGCATCTCACTACCAAGAGTGAACAGAGACAGCCACTGCTGTTCTGAGCCACAGAAACAGCATTAGCCTAGCACACACTGATGAAGTATGTTGAAATTCTTTCATGTGAACTGAAAAACAATCCAACATACAGGAAAACAAAGCTTTTTACTCTAAACAGTACACTTTATTCATCTGGCTAATGTAGGCAGCAGAAATAACCAAGCTAAAGTCAGTTGTCACTCACCTGACTGTGAAGTTCAAAATTGTGTTATATAGGGAGAGTAAAAATGTTTGGAGTATAAACTTGTTAGATGAATTTAAGATATGACTTCCTGACAGTAACTTCGACATTAGTCAGTATAAAGCATAGTGTGGGTTAATATTAGAATGAATGGGAACATTTAGGTGAGTAGGATGAGTTTGTGCAGTTATGACACAAACAAAAAGCAGCTTCCCCTTTTCAGAAATTTGTGTACAACCCTCAAAGTTAGTTGAAGTTTAAAAAAGAGAGTAGTGAAATATAAAAGTTATTAAAAAATGGAAGTAGTTCTTTGCTTCGAAGGCTCCTCCAATGATTGTGTAGAAATAGTCTGCATAGATGTCGGCCAAGTAAACTCATATAGAATTATTTTTGTATAGTGCCTTAAAGGGATTTAAAAACCAGCCCACCCTAAAAGAAAAGTGAAGATACTAGACTTAATCATAAGGTGCCTTCATGGAGAAACATTTAAAAAAAACTTTTTTAATTATTAATCATTAAATTGTGATACAGGAATAAGGAAGTTTGATTGTATTTGATTTTAGACAGAAAAAGATAAATATTCTTGTCTTTGACTATCCCTAAATTATTAAACTGTGCCATTGAACAACTCCTGTGAACTAAATATTGTACTTTTTGATCTCTGAGATGGGCTGGTGGACTTTTGAAAAACCATAAGCAGAGTTAAAGAGGGTTTTACCAATCAAATAGAGTTAAAAGTAAAAAAGGTCAGATTTATCATTGATATCCAAAAATCCAATTTTGGGTGATGGTATGTTCATGGTCAGAAAAATATACGTTCATCGAATGTTTTAATGGAAAAATGCAGAAAAGTCTTCCACAGAACTTTTCATTTCAAATGCATACATACTTCTGTAGATAGATACTGTACTTCATCATTAATTTTACATTTACATTTAAGTGGCACCTACCAAATCCTCATGTTTCTTGTCGTTGTATTTTCATGTCAATTCTTTTCACTTTTACCTTGTTTTCTTGGTAAATGTTCCTTTGACACTTGATTACCACGTCTTTGTATTTTTTATATCTTTATTCCTGTTCTCTGGATCTCTTTTGTATGATAAACTACTGTTTGTGACGCTCTGTGTTAGCTGCTTTCTGCCCGCTTTTTTAAATGGTAAGGCTTCGGGAGGGACGCTGTTAGCATGAATAGACTTCATTATGTCTTTCTCTATATATTGATTGCTATCTCCTGACACTGGACTCTTTTTGTGCCTGTGCATGCCTTAAAATGAATGCTTCATGAAGCATCCAGAATGAGTATGAGTGTACACAATACATATATCAGACACTATTGAGCTTGACAACTGATATAAAGTACTTAAACATGTTTGAAGGGAATAAATCACAGTTCAATAAAACTTCTTCTGAGTCTGTAGCTGATTTATCAATCTGAGGGAGAGTTTGTTGAAAGGTCTTTCAGGATGAGATGCATTAACTGGTGTCATCATTCAAAGCAGGCCAGGCCTGTGTACAGTTCAGGCCATGATTTAGTACAGGACGTACAAGTAGAGCTCCACAGGACAAAGACCAATATTAAAGTCAGTCTTTAAATTGTTTAAAGACGGCATTTTATAACTGATCACTGACTTAAACATGAACACATATTTCAGAAAACCAGTCCCTGTGATTGAATTCAGTAAAGTATTTGTTTTAAATCATTTTTGTCAGATAATTTATGTTTGTTCATTTGTTGGCATCAAAAAGTTGCTTCCAGTAAGCATGTTAAGTGATTGGAGGTGAAACAATATTGTACTCTTAGGCCCTGATCTACTAAAGGTTTGCGTGCGGAAAAACACATGCAAACTTGATAGCGCGTGCAGAGCAGATTTACTATCCTGGTGCACAGAGGATTGGTTCTGTCAAATGAGCAAAACAGCGCCCGCAATTGATTAAGCATGTTTGCCTTGACGAATATGCAGATTATATGTAGATCATCAGACCCAAAATAAAAACAGGCACAAAACAAAAGCAGTATATGTGTTATAATCTCAACATTTGTACCATAGATTCTAAGATCATGGATTGGTGCAAAAAGATCAAAGTAAAAAATACATCAAAAAGTAAAGACTGTGTGTAAGGTAGACTGGTTTCTACATGAAGACTTCAGTTTAATTGACACTGTATGATCTTTTATCCCAGCACAGTCGCTGACATCATATTTGGAATTTTCATCCACTTTCTCCATACTCAGCGAGTTATGTGATATATCATATATCATCTGATTCACTGAGGAAAAGGAAACAGGTCTTGAGTTAATGCTGATCAGTTTTTTTTTGTTTTTTTTTAAACCAAAATAAGGGCCAGAATTTGATTAAACGCATGGCTGATATAGGCATTAACCAAGTAAAAGCCATGAAAAATTGACCTTAAACTGTGTCTTACACCAACAGCTTGCACTAAGTGTGAGTTGCAAGTAGAAGTTGCAGGTCTACTGGGAATGTGTCCTCACATAATAAAGATGGTAATAGACAGGTATCTGTGCATCGTTATCGCAGGTATGGGCGGGCAGCCAGTGGGCAGAAAGCAGGACATTTCTTATTTGTTTCTAAACAGAGAAATTAAATGACAAGGAGGTGTTGTGCTGTAAACTGCACAAAATGGCAGAAGGATGGATGGAAACTGTTTAACATACCAAGGGGATCTCATCCTTTTGCCAAGAGAAGAAGAAGATTGTGGCTCCAGACCATTAAAAGAGCCGATTGGGGTCCTGAAGGTCCTAAAGGCGGCAAGAGTCTGTGCAGTGTACAGCGTAGATCCCTGTGCATGTACACCCAGGCATCATAAGGTTTTGCATTTACTCCCTGTCTCTGGCTGGGCAGGACACCTGCTCTCAAAGTGCAAAACTCTGAACTCGTGTCATAACATTTTAAGTTCTGGACATGGCCACATAGTACATAATTATAAACGTCTGAAGTTTTGTATGCATGCAAACTGTCCTTTGTGTATAGACAAGGCTTCTCAATCAGATAATATGTCGGGCCGTATTATACTGGCCATTTGGACATATCTGCATTCCATCCCTCACTCGGAATACTATATGGGTCTGGTAATTTCTCAACAGTGCTGAGGATAAGTTTGTTCAGGTAATTGGTGCAGTCTGAGCTGCTGAGGCTGTTGATATAATTGGTCTGATCCATCTCTGTAAAGACCTAGCTAACAAGCTGTTAGACTTAAATTTCAGTGACATTGGCAGGTTTTTTCAAAATGTTGGCAGGCTGTAAAGTAGCCTTGCCATAAACATTTTTACTTTGACTTTGTTAGCATTCACTAACATTACGACTCTGCTCCTGATATTAGACACATCCAAAACAATGTCACAATCTGGTAATTCATAGACATTTCAGCGTTTTTCTGATTTGTGATGCAATGAAAGACAAAGCTATTTTTTGGTGAAATTACATTTTATTGCAATTGTGTCAGGAAGAACTTGCAAACAAAACAGCATCTTCACTGATATTAGTTCACTCCGAAGCAGGCTTTTGCCCCCGGTTGTGCGCTCACCTAGTATTGTTTGTACACATGAAACCTGTCTATCGAAACACCATTAAGTCTGCTGAACTAGTGGAAACACCTTCAAAGGTAGCAGCTGGAAATGCTTTTTGTCAGTTTTATTTTTCTTATTTTCTGCATGCATACTTTTAATCTGCTGGGTAGGTCTGTCATTTTTTTTTTGGCCAACATTCTTTTTATTGTTTTCACAATTAACCAATAAATACAAAACATACATTTACATGTCTGAACCAAACATGTCAACACCCCATCCCTAGCCCTTACAATTATTCTAATTGTTGGTCGGGAATCAGGTTAGCGAGTACATTATATATATGAAAAAAATTAATAAATAACAGTAACAGACATTATTCTCTAATATTAAGTACTGCAAAGCGCTGCCATTTACATGTCCCCAGGCTCTTCCATCACTTGAGATAAATCTGTCCTCAGTACATAATCAATGAATGGATCCCAGATCAGGTGAAAATTATGTTGCTGGTGTTTCATTGCATATGTAATTTTCTCTAAAGGAAGAGTTGAAGACATTTCAATCAACCATCTCTTTACACTTGGAATACTAGTGTTTTTCCATGAGAGGGCTATTACTCTCTTTGCCATTAATACACTCAAGTCTACAAATATTCGTTGGTGTTTCTTCAAATTATCTGGATATAGACCCAATATAAACAAATGTGGAATTAAGGGTATTTGAATCTGTAAGATAATTTGAATACATTGTCCTATTTCTCGCCAGAATTTTTGTATTTTTGTACATTGCCAGATACAATGGAAAAATGTACCTTTTTCCTTTTCACATTTGACACAAATAGGTATGGCGCTGTTATATTTATGAAGTTTTTCTGGCGTGATATAGGATCGCATCAGCCAGTTGTATTGTAGTAATTTCAGACGGGTGTTAGTTGTTCTTGATTGTGCTTGGGAGCATGCCTCTCTCCACTTTTCTATTGAAATGTCCTCCTGTAGATCTTCTCTCCAAGCCCCCAACCGTCCTGCTGATGATTCTGTACTTCCATCTACAAGGCATTTATAAATTTTGGATATTAAACCCCTCCCTAAGCAATCCATATTCATTAATTTTTCTACAGTAGACCATCCAGGGATGCATAATGTTTGATTTTGGTGTGTTCTAATGAAGTTTCTCAATTGTAGGTATTTTAAAAAATGTTTACGGGGTATTTTAAATTGATCAGATATTTCTCCAAATGACATCAGCACTTTTTGTGCATTATAAAGATCTCCTATTTTCCCCAGTCCTTTAGTAGCCCAAGATTTAAACCCCCCGTCAGTTTTACCTGGAGGAAAGGAGTAATTACCCCAAATTGGGCTGAAGACAGAGAGGGTGGGTGTTCCTCTCAGATATTCTTTAACTTGATGCCACACCACAATCATATTCCTCACAATAGGATTTTTTGTGTTCTTTTTGAGGATTTTAGTGCTTGCAGAGTATAGATATACTGGGAGGGGCAGATTTAGCTGTAGTCCTTCCATTCCTTTCCAGAGAGGAACTTCTCTTTCTGCGAAGTAAAACAATATTGTTCTTAATTGAGCCGCCCAGTAGTACCAGAGAGGACAGGGACATTTACACTCACCGGCCACTTTATTAGGTACATCTGTCCAACTGCTCGTTAACACTTAATTTCTAATCAGCCAATCACATGGTGGCAACTTAGTGCATTTAGGCATGTAGACATGGTCAAGACAATCTCCTGCAGTTCAAACCGAGCATCAGTATGGGGAAGAAAGGTGATTTGAGTGACTTTGAACGTGGCATGGTTGTTGGTGCCAGAAGGGCTGGTCTGAGTATTTCAGAAACTGCTGATCTACTGGGATTTTCACGCACAACCATCTCTAGGGTTTACAGAGAATGGTCCGAAAAAGAAAAAATATCCAGTGAGCGGCAGTTCTGTGGGCGGAAATGCCTTGTTGATGCCAGAGGTCAGAGGAGAATGGCCAGACTGGTTCGAGCTGATAGAAAGGCAACAGTGACTCAAATAACCACCCGTTACAACCAAGGTAGGCAGAAGAGCATCTCTGAACGCACAGTACGTCGAACTTTGAGGCAGATGGGCTACAGCAGCAGAAGACCATGCCAGGTGCCACACCTTTCAGCTAAGAACAGGAAACTGAGGCTACAATTTGCACAAGCTCATCGAAATTGGACTATAGAAGATTGGAAAAACGTTGCCTGGTCTGATGAGTCTCGATTTCTGCTGCAACATTCGGATGGTAGGGTCAGAATTTGGCGTCAACAACATGAAAGCATGGATCCATCCTGCCTTGTATCAACGGTTCAGGCTGGTGGTGGTGGTGTCATGGTGTGGAGAATATTTTCTTGGCCCTCTTTGGGCCCCTTGGTACCAATTGAGCATCGTTGCAACGCCACAGCCTACCTGAGTATTGTTGCTGGCCATGTCCATCCCTTTATGACCACAATGTACCCAACTTCTGATGGCTACTTTCAGCAGGATAATGCGCCATGTCATAAAGCTGGAATCATCTCAGACTGGTTTCTTGAACATGACAATGAGTTCACTGTACTCAAATGGCCTCCACAGTCACCAGATCTCAATCCAATAGAGCATCTTTGGGATGTGGTGGAACGGAAGATTCGCATCATGGATGTGCAACCGACAAATCTGCGGCAACTGTGTGATGCCATCATGTCAATATGGACCAAGCTCTCTGAGGAATGCTTCCAGCACCTTGTTGAATCTATGCCTCGAAGAATTGAGGCAGTTCTCAAGGCAAAAGGGGGTCCAACCCGTTACTAGCATGGTGTACCTAATAAAGTGGCCGGTGAGTGTAAGTCCCCCTCTGTCATTAGGCAAGTAGAGTAGAGACAGTCGTGTCCAGGGACGTCTAT